GTCACCTCCTCGGTCTTTTCCATGGACCCACAATGCACCGCTGATGGCTTTTGCGCATTGACACCGTGCGCTTTTAACACGTTAGTGGTGTGTAGTTAGTGGAGTGTAGTTTGTGGTGTGTAGTTTGTGGTGTGTAGTTTGTGGTGTGTAGTTTCCAGAGAGCAGCGATAGCTACTGTTGTGATGGGCCCCAATGAGGAGTTGTCTCTCACTGCAGCTGTCAGTTGATTATATTTTATCTAATTATTTTAATGGTGGACTAAGAGGACCACAATGCACTTCTTTAGGATAATCTGATGGATTTTGCAAAGACTGCTTTTTTATAATAAAAAAAATCCCGCGTGTTGTTTGCAACACTGTACAATGCAGTACCTATTATACTGCCTCTTGTGGAAATGTGATGCGTCAACGACCAACCAAAATTTGAACTGAAAATAATAATTATTCTTTATTTCATTTATATTATTTTTCTACCTACGTGACTTTACCGAAAGAACCAAAGAGTATGGATTCCTGCAGTCACGAAAGCTTCACATCAAGATAGGATTTGAACTCGCAACCTTCGGAATGTGAACCGGCCGCTCTCCTGCCGAGTCACATGGATTCGGATGCCAATCGGAGTAGCGCGTAGCAGGATCGCGAGCGGTGGTTCACGCTGATGCTGGTGCCACAATGGCGAGATGTTTACAACCTCGCCTGATATGCAGGAGGTCGTGGGTTCGATCCCGACCCTGACGCCTGTATATTTGGAGTTTGTATGTTCTCCACGTGGTCGCGTGGATTTTTCTCCGGGTCTTTCGCTTTTTTCCTCCTTCTAACGCGCGTTCGGAGTATTCGGCTGCTATAAATGTCCACACGATGAGCTATCAATTGTGGCCAGGTCGTTTCTGAAAAAATATCTGCATAGCTCAGTGGGCCTTACCTGGTCAAATAAAAACAAGTCAGTTGAGACGGGTGTGTGTCCCTGACGTGTGAGATGTGATCGCAGCGATGCTGGCGGCTGCGTGCGGAGCGAGCGAGGATACGCGTGGCTGACGGCTTCGCACTCACCCGTGGCATTATCGCCACGACAGTCTGGGGGGGGGGGGGGGTTGAGAGCGATATTGCATCGGAACGAGGCGCATATCGGTTACGCTGCACGACACGCTACGCGCACACGCGCGGTGCGGTGGAGTGGCGGGGGGGGGTCAGGATGAGACAACTCGGGAATACTGTAAAGCCTTCAATTCGCAGACTGCATTTAGCATCGTGCTGAGTCGGTGACATTTACGGTGCGGGGGGAGGGGGGTGAGTTTTTTTTCTTCCACGCAGGAATGCTGATTGGGGCTCGGCCTCCGAGTGCATCCGCGTTTCGCTGAACTGTAACGACCTTCAGGCCACGGTCGCCCTCGTGGTCACACCTCACGCTGGGAGCCAAAGGTCTGTCTATGCGGGGCAGCTCACTCAATGGCTCACGTTGTTGCACCAGGGCTATCTTTAGTTGTTAGATGGGGTTTAGTTTAGATTCGCTTGGCATACTAATGTGTCCTGTTCTAAGGGTTATAAAGCGTGCCCGACGTGCTGTGTATGTATCCAAAAGAGGTTTTTTTGGGGGGTTAGATCGCACAAATGTAAATGTGTCGTCGTTAAACTCGCCACCAACCGACACAGGCAATTCGTAAGGTTTGGCACGTAAACAGAACGTGCCAATTGGTTACTAGCTCATCACACCGGTGTGTTGGAGGGTAAACTCACGACATTAACAATTCGAGTACGACGTTTCGCCAGCAATTGCCACTGGCAACATCAGGCGGCAGCCAGAGCTGTGGATATTTCCTTCCGTTTCGGGTCTTAAACAGCGACGCACGTGGTGTCGTCACTTGTCAGCCAATCAGGTACGAAGGCCAGAGGCGTCGGGTTATGTATGCAAATGCATAACAATGGATATCAACTACCGGTTGGGTTGTACATAGGGTAATCAACACACGCTATTCATGCACACCATGCATGTACATCCTGACGTTTGTGTGTGTAAGAAATCACAATACATGTTCTTGTCTGCTCAAGGTCAATCACCTTCGACAGATGGTGACCTGAAGTGGATCAGTGTAGTATTACTGGATGATTTGCTTCCAAGCAGCACCAAGCCTCGAGCTATCAGAACGGTTAAAATGATTTTTTTCTCTCTCAATTACAATAGATTATCCAATTATCTTGGCCAGTCGGAACTAATTTTGCACATAACTTCAACATTATCAAAATAAATTGAGTGTCCTTGTTGGCACGCGTGTTGTGCCACTGCCGACAGTTGTGTTTGGGATGATTTAATATTACTTTGTTCTTTTAGTTTCATGCTGATCATTCGTCCTGTCTGACCAACATAGCATTTGCCACAATAGCAATTTATGCGGTACACACCTTCTGTTTATAGCTTCGGTAATGCATCTTTAGTACCAGATATTAGTTCCTGTATTTTATGTATCGCGCCAAATCTCACTCAGATGTTTTGTTTTTCCCAAAAATTGGCTAGTTTATCAGTTACTCCTGCAATGTATGGTATTTTAATACTTTTAACTGCTTGTGCTATTTGATTTTGTTTTGGAATTTAGTGCCCGGTTGATTTGCACATCATTGTAACCTTTCAATTGCAGCACTTCCTTAACATGTTCAATCTCACTACTCAGACTATAACCATCCGATACTTTCTTAGCCTGATGTATGAGCATCTTGATGAGAGGATTTCTGTACAGGGTGATGGTGCGACTCTGCATTCAGATCGGCGTCAGTGTGAGTTTTTGTGGATAAACGCTGTGGTATTTGATCGTTTTGGCCGTGCCCGAGAACATCCAGGAATCGGAGAGTTGTCAACCTCTACTTCTATGGTGAACTAGCTGTATGTATGGTGAACTGGATGTATGTTTGGTGAACTGGCTGTATGTATGTATGGTGAACTGGATGTATGTATGTATGGTGAACTGGCTGTATGTATGGTGAACTGGCTTTATGTATGTATGGTGAACTAGCTGTATGTATGGTGAACTGGATGTATGTATGTATGTATGGTGAACTGGCTGTATGTATGTATGTATGGTGAACTAGATGTATGTATGTATGGTGAACTGGATGTATGTATGGTGAACTGGCTGTATGTATGTATGGTGAACTGGCTGTATGTATGTATGGTGAACTGGATGTATGTATGGTGAACTGGCTGTATGTATGTATGTATGGTGAACTAGCTGTATGTATGGTGAACTGGATGTATGTATGTATGGTGAACTGGCTGTATGTATGTATGGTGAACTGGCTGTATGTATGGTGAACTGGCTGTATGTATGTATGTATGGTGAACTGGATGTATGTATGGTGAACTGGCTTTATGAATGCTGAACCTGTGTTCGCACCGTATGTATACAACCGTGCTAATCGGAGGTGCGTTATGCTGCATCCCGATTTGAGAGATTGACTCTCCTGGAAGCTTGCAAATCAAAATCCCTGCCTTGGACCATCACCGCTCTTGGGTCAATACAATAAGTACCGCTTCATGGAAAGTCATCAGCGGTTGTACTTTAACTGGCATATCCTATCATAGGAATGTGGAATTTCCATCACTCGCTCAGGGCTGTCAATGGATGCTGCCCCGTTGCATGTTTTTACATCGGGGAGGCACCTTGACATTCCGGGTCCCGCCGTCTCAGCGTGACCTATGGAAGGTAACAAGAATTCAATTATATTGCACAAGTAGCCAACGTTTAAGTCGTCTAAATCATCCACTTCAGGAAATACAATACACCGTAAGGAAATCTCCTGCATGGTTATTCTATATATAATGCTCAAAAATGCATTTACATACATTTTGGGAGCTCAGGGAGTTCCAAAGCCAATGTATTTTTAAATGGTACATGTGAACCGACACACACACATGGTGCTGCGTGTACTGCGTCATGCCAGAAACGTCGTGGTCAGTATTGGATTGCGCGTGCAGTCACCTTGCTCCAAGTCTTGAAGGTTGTTTTGAGCTACTCCAACAGTACAATGTGATCTATATGGCTCCAGGAAATGTATCTTCACGTCAATGGGCGGTCAGCGATTGTTACACAAAGCAACCGTGGGTCAGGTTGCAGTGTGTTAAATACAGAAACTGCTTGTCGGAAGGACATCATAGCTCAAGATGACTTGTACACCAAGTGGCCTTCGTTTGACCCATGATACCACTTTCATTTTAAATAGCCTCATTCATGCGAATAGCATCCCAGAACGCTGAACATAGATTGCATACAAGGAACCATATACAGCCACTACCAACGCGTAATTAAACAGATGACCACAAGCACCCGAAGGAGGCTACACTTGCCCGCTGGGGCCCCGCCCATGCTGATGGACAGCCGGTGCTCCCAGGGCCATGCACCAAGATTCCTGGGGTCACGCTCGGTGAGAGACCATGCAGACTTGTTCAAGGAGACACGTCAGGGTCACCTTACACCGGAATTGCAAGTCCCGGGTGAAATTAACCTCATGTAAATCGTACGGTGCTCCGTACCCATGAGTATAGCGCGCTTTGGTAAGGAAGCCAAAGAGCAATGGTGCCGAATAGCAGTGGCGAATATCCGAACCGGTCCTCGGCTTCCCCTAGGTTGGTTTAGCCTTGAACGAGTACCCAGTGCAATGTGCAAAAATCGTCATGCGGGGAGACAAAGGCTGCCGGACATGGTGTTGGGCACCCTACCTCCTCGTGTGCTGTCGGCCTTCAGGAGGTGCTCGCGAACAGCACTTGCCCCAACAGTCTGAAGACTATACGGGGGATCTTTGTGCGAGCGAATGAATGGGTGAGCAAGTGAGGGAGCGAGTAATTGGGCTAGACACCGCGAAATGTTGATGGTGTAGTGCGACTTTGGAATTCCCCAAGCTCCCAAAATGTATGTAAAATTGCAGGGACAATATCGTTAAATATGATCGCAGCTCACGAGCTAAGGAGTAGAATTGGGCCTTCTAACAAAAATAAATAACAAATGACAAATAGCAGGAGATCATCTTTCTTTAATTGCACTTCAATTCCCTTGAAACAGCAGTCCCCAAGTGCAGACAACAAATGGTTCACTCAAAAAACGCACACAAAATAAACAACGCAAGCCGACAGTGCAAACGAGCAACCTCAAATACACAGTGTGGACAAGAACCCTAACCACGCGCGCGCACACACACATTGCACACTACACGCTAATTTAGTAGTTATAGCATTCATAGTATTGCCAAACGGATGGACTTGCAGAGCATAAAAGGGTGCCTCCGATTTAACTGTATTGAAACAGGCATTTGCAAAATGCCATCCCACTGCAGAGAAACGTGACAATTTAAAAAGAGAAGCAATGAATACTTTCGTCAAAACATAAGCATTTGAGAAATCACAAAAAAACTGAATCCGCTTTCAACACCACCATCAAACACAATTGCATGCACGTCTCCATACTTATCATTTAAACGTTTGCTTAACGATACGGAAAAATCAAAAAGAATCACGTAATCTCTGCAAAGAAACGGCCGATTCAAATGAACATTAAAGCATATTCAGTTTGCATATCCTAATGTGTATGGCTATCATAAAGAAACCCTTAACCCAAAAAAAGCAACTTTTTCAGTTATTGGGTTGCATTTCAAAAGTTTAGTGCTACCACGCTGTATATATAAAAAAAAACTATTTGCATATATTTAGAATGGAATTACAATTAGCCTAAGCTTGTACGGTGAAAATCCCTTTTAGCTTAAGAACCTGCTTTACATTTATACCTCTAGACATTACTTATGCTTGCAAGTTGTTCCTACGCTATGCTTGTATTCATTAGCAACAGACTTGGATCTCCCGCCGAGTGTATGACTGTACCACGTGTTGTTCTAGAGGAAGTGGAACTCCTCAAGGTACAAACGTGTGGAGCGAAACGTTTGGACACTGCGCCAGAGAACCAAGCGACACAATCCAAATGACACACGGGAGAGCTCTACAGCACGACTGTGAGAAAATCCGTGCCAGCCGTAGTTCGATTTTCAGTTTAGAGAATTACCTAAAAAAACGATCACCCCAAAAACAAAACACTCCACAAAAACATCGCTGCAGGTGGGAAGCTTTGCAGTTAATTGATACAAGCCATCCCTTCGAAACAAACATTCTGAAATATTTTGGACGCAACGTGAGCGCACAGATGAACGACTACAATATTTCTTCAAATGGCAACCTCGCAGCATCAACACGAGTGCCACCATGTAATTATTACTCAGCGACGAGACGTGAGAAGAAGTGTTAAGTCGGTGCAATTTCCTTTTTAGCATCTCATTCTTAAAAATGACCTGAGCGCCTCCGCATACTTATCAAAGCCGACTCCGAACGATGTTGTGCAATTACCTTGTTCCGTACCCCCGAATCATTTGATTTTCACCAAAATATAAACAGTTTTGTGAATGATGTACTCAAAGTCATTTTAATTCCAACAAGGCCGAGTCTTTGTATGCACAGCAGATCAATGTTTAATTTCATTTCTGGACCCAAATTGAAATGTCCTACGGCCTTTGCAATCAACAACTTAATTGAAATGAGGGCCAATAAAGAGACAATAGACAGGTAATATTGCCCGTGCTCACGCTTGACCGTTCGCGGTTTTTGCATGCGAACCAGAATGGGTGCTGGTTTTGTCCATTCATTAATTTCTGGTGCAATGGGTCACTCTTTCTGCAAGGCAGATGAAACCCAAATAAATGTTGGAGACTAAAATGCCAGGCTTTTTAAATCGCGAAAAGTTTAACACGCTGTATTTTACAAAGGTTAGAGTAAATGAACAAGGCTACCCAGTGTCTTATGATTAATACAAGTGTGTTGTCCGCGACTACATACGACACTCGCAAAGTGCACAATTAAATGCACTGTGTAACATTTCATAGTGGTGATCGTTTTGGAAATTGCCAGGGTAATTACGGCACCCAAATAATACTTTGTACTTAAATTGCGGGGATATGTATTTGACGTAATTTGAGCAATCACGTCAAATTATGGATAATCAATGTTCTAAAAACAATGACAAGAATATATTTCAGAAAATAATGCGTACTACAAGGGCTTAACGAAAACATTGACAACAACTTGAGCCATCAAACTCTTCACCACAACTCGAACCAAAGTAGTCGCTCATGAACAATCGAAAATAAAGTCCTTGAAACGCGTGTAAAAAAATATCACCTCGTTTCTTTCCTGCCGGCTCGGCAAAACTGTTCACGAACAATGGTGAAAAAAAATTAACCATTTCAAACTCACGCCGACGTAACTCTAGTCCCAACTTCAATTCAATGCCGACCTTGGGGGGTCGCGACAACGAAAACTCAAGGAAAGGCGGCGCGCGTCTATGCGTATTCCTATTTGTCCCGCACAAAAGCCGTCTTATAACCTCCCTGTGCTGTACGAACAGCACAGAAACCAACACGTGCTGCTCCCTTCGTCGTTCCACCACCGCAGGTTCAACCGGCCACGTGACGCCAGAGACGCACGGTTGGCACGACCCTATTTTTAGGCCCCGGTTATCAAACCCGCCGGCCTGAACGCGGTGTTCCGTGCAGGCTCCCACATTCAACAAATCGAGTTTTGGACAGGGACCACACTCGCGAGACGACCCCCCCTCCCCGCCTTGTACACACAAAGCAGGTGGCTCGAGCTTCATGCCAAAAAGTGCGGCGGTCGACGTGACCACATCGTGTGGTGGAGGCGAATCCTGGGATGGGGCGTCGCGGCAAAAGTGTGTTAAAGCCGGTCTTGGGATGGGAGCGAATGGGAAATGCAGCACTTTAAATCACCGTATAATTAACTCCATTTCGTGTTAGTTGTTTAACCAGACGAGGCCACCGAGATTCGCGAGCCGTGTTAAAGAAAGCGGGGACCTGAGAATGGGAGGTGGGCAAGACAATGTTACATTTTAAAATATATATTTAGTTGCACGAAGCCGAGGTTTGGAGTTTGGTTATGGCACATCAGGGGTTACTCTTGTAAATGTAGGAGGGGGGGGGGGGTCACGAGATCTTTATTGTCCACATTGCCACTGCAGAAGATTTTAATGATAAAATAGGAACATTTAATATAGATTTATTGTAGACTTAACAACATCACAATGGTGATCTTATAAAATGTAAATTTTAGTGGCAAAATGTCATGGATGCAAGTAATTCAGAAACCCAAGTCACAAGTTTGTACACATCGGCCTGATATAGGTCGTTATTTAATAGTTAAAATTTTAAATATCCTTTAGACATACCCAAAGTGAATTCCCAACGCAGACCTGTGTTTGCACTGCCCCTTATTATTTCCTTAAATAACAAACACTTTAACATTTCAATAAACATTCATCGTAATCTTCTGGAGTTACCTTTCATTCAAACTCAACGTAGGTGGGCATAGTTAAAAACACGTGCACCGATAAAACGCTCATTGTCAGATGTGGTCAATCGGGAAAACCACATCTTGATACGGTAATACATTTATTATTATGATTATTACTCAAAATACAATTTACATTGGCTGCATTTGGACACACGCGATGGGGGAAGACCGTCTGTGAAGAATGCATGCAGGAGCACGCCAACATGCTAAGACTTTAAAATAAAGTTACAAATGTCAGTGTTAATACAAGTCCATCTCTATCGATCGCAGGCTAACTGGTGGAGGGGCCAGAATTGCCTGGAGGGCCCAAACTGTACTGCTAATATAGCAACGGCTGTTGATGCCGCATCGAAAACAGTGGACCAAGACGCACTACTACACCATCAAGAAGGCAACACACGCTGTCAAGGCTATTTATTTCATGAAAACTTATGAATTCCTCCATGTTAATTGGGAGACGTTCATTATGGATCGAGGTGACGGATTGAAATGTAAAAAAGCCTTGACCATCTTGCCTTAAAGTTCAACCCCCAGGACCAAATTCACACCAATGGAAGGGAAAGGGGGGGGGGGGGGGGGTTATCGCGCGATGCTTTGAAGCCAAGCCGCTTTATACAAATCCTCGTGTATTATTTGATACACGCCACAAATTCAGCATTGACACTCGCCGTACTCTCAATTCGCCTACACGCTACTGCAGGTTCGCGGTACGAGAAGTCCGTGAAGTTTGCGCACGCACTGGCCTGCGCATGTGCAAAGCCCTCAAAACGCGAAATTTGGCCGTTGCGCCAATTGCATCGCAAGCCGATTGGAGGACGAGTGGCACCCAACGCGTTCCAAAAGATTTCCTTTACAAAAAGCTAGTGCCCCGCTAACATTGCCGTGTGTTTAGCCCAAGCGAGTCTTCCCCATTATTGCTCAAGGTACGAAAGAGGTAAAAGCGGTTATTTGACGACGTGGAAGCTGCTTCAAACGATCCGAGGAGGCTGATGCCAACAACAAAACAATGAAGGGAAAAAAAACACAGCTTCACTGCAACGTCTTGAAATGTACGGAAATAACGACAGCTACTTGCACACAGTCCGACTGCGCTTTAGTAACTGCCGGACAATTACATATTCCCCCCATATAAAATCCAGAGCTGTTAATGTCTTTATCCGAACAAAAATATCCCAAATCCTTTTTTTGCACATATATGTTACATTCAGTTAATCTTCTACCATTACGCAAGAAATTATCACGCTATTGAAGGTGATTTTTTTAAAGTATTCGATGCCAGTATGTTTTTTAAACACGCTATAAATTATGCTTTTACTTTGCAACTGCTCATAGTTAATGGTGTGTGCATGGTGTGGGTTTGAAGGTTTTTAAATGTTGTGCAAGTATGGACAACTGATCTATTGCTTATAAAAATAGACTAAGGATGACTGAACGCCAAGTCATTTTACACTTTTTACAAGATATCCTAAGTACCAAACAGCTCACAAACAAGGAGAACAATCCCTCAGATGTAATCTATCAACACCAAATTGAGATAATTATAAACTGGCATCGTTAACATTATTGCATAACCTATAACTGTACTTAAAACCACTTTTAAAATAACTTCATGTCAAAATCTAGCTATTCACTCCCCGGGTTGATACTGCCTGTGCCCGGACTCTGTTATCTCGTTCTCGTAGTAAAGGACACCCAAGGAAACAACGTAAAGTGCGCAACACACCACAATGTCGTAGTGGTACAAGGCCACGAGGAAAACGACAAAAGCGAGGAAGTACAAAACCTTCTCGAACACCTGCTGCAGCCGCTTGTAGCTCGGGCTCGCGTCTGCAACCGCCGTGGCCGACGCCACCCACCCCCTCCTCTGCCTGACCTCGCCTCCCCCCCCAGAGGGCTCGGCGGTGACATGGTCCCAGCCCGAAGCTCCGGGCGGGGAGATGTCGTCCTCTACGAACTGCCCGGCTCTCATCCTCTTCCGGAATCACCTCGTTCACGATGATGGTCGGGAACGCCGGCCTGGGCCTTCTTGGCTTGGGCCTCGCTTTGTTCGCGTCAGGAACCGGCTGCTCGGCCGACTCGTCGCCGCCATCGCCGTCGGCTGCGGCGCCAGGGCGCCCTTCAGAATCGCCGAGCGCTTGAGCCGCGTGGGACGAGTCGGGTTGCGAGTGACGAGACGAGTGCAGATCGCCTTCGAGCGGAGGAGAGCCTTCGGTCGCACGTGGCTCTTCCCGTTCCTCCGGACTGGCGTCGGCGATGCCCCGCAGCGCATTTCCCACGATCCCCTTGGTCTCGCCGCATTCCTCAATGATGCTGGCAAGGGCGTCTTTTCCCTCCGCGGAGTCTCGCAGTGTGAACCGTTCCACCGGCTGATTCACCTCCACGAGCATGCTCTGCAGAATGTCCCGGATTTCTCCAACTTCGGTCAAGAGGCGAGTTTCACGGAGCTGCTCTTCCTCCCCAAATGCTTTTGACGGGTCACATGCAGAGTCAAGGTCAACTTTGGTGGCAAGGTCATAAATTCCCCTCTTTGACATTGGCAATTCATTCAACGATCCCTGCGACACTTGGGCCTCCTCAGAGAGGCTTTCATCTGCGACAGTATCTTGTACATTTAATATGTAGTCACAGCCTGCTTCAACCACATTACTCTTTACACCTACCGCTTCCATTTCATCACATACTGGGAGCACTTCAACTTCAGGCTCTGCCAAGACAGAGCCAGACACGGACCGACTTTGAAGTTGCACTTGCGGTTCCGAGTGAAGAAAGATGGTACCTGTTGATACTGCTTGCTCTCGTTTCAAGTCAGCCTTCTCTTCTTCCAGCTGCAAGTCTACAACACTTGTTTCCGGGTACTGCTTTTCTTCGTCTTCTTCGAACGAGTCTACATCTTTGTTTAGCTCCTCATACGCAACACGAGGCTCCAAATCTTTATACAGTTCTTGGTTCTCAAAACGCAAGTCAACCCCATCATCCTCATCATTATCCCACACATCTTCGTCGCCTTCTCCCGCTGCAGGCGCATCTTCTCCGACCCGTTTCTCCTCAGCGAGATGCTGCTCCACTGGCGACTGGGGCACGGCATCCTCGTCAAGTAGTCCTTCATTAATCCTACTCGCCGGACGACGACGCGATAGAGGCGGGGTTTCAAGTAACCACCGGTCAACGGATTCTAGTTCAGGAGTTACCGCGCCGTCGTCCTTGCTTACGGCCGGCGCAACCGAGGTGAGCAGCAACCGAGCGGGTTGAACGACGTCTGCAGAGGCCTCCAAATCACGAGTTCCTTGAGTGCACGAAGACGCGGCAAGAGCATCCCAAGGGGTTTCAAAATTCGGCGAGTTTCAGCGGAGGTTTAAAAGCATAGCTTTCGAAATTAGTCTCCTCCGCGAGTTCGTCTCCTTGTGCATCTTCGAGGTGATCTGTGGGCACCATCTCCCCCCCTTCAGGCTGCGCGCAAGGCCCTGCGCAGTCTTCCTCGCCCTCCGGTAAACATCGCTCCGCCAAGCCGGCATCGTCTGGCGATGCCTGCAGCGTGGCGGCGTTGGCTTCCAAAAAGCGTCTGACGTTCTCTTCCACCATGCCCACGATCCTGTTTAGCTGCTCTGGCGTAATGATGGGCTCCACCAGGGCATCAGTTTTATCGGTCCCCTCGGCCAGAAGCACGTGGGTTTCACAACCGGACGTTTGTTCGTCGTCTTCGACATACTCTCGCCTTGTAAGGTCATGTTGAGTTCCGTTCCCCGCAGCTGGATCATCCGTCACGCTCGAGTCAGCTGCCCAATGTTCCTCCAGTGAATGGGTTCGCTCCTCTGGTGGGGTCTTCTCAATGAAACTTGTTTCTTTCAATTTCAGGAGATCGTCGACGCGTTCGTTGGGCACAGCAGATGTTTCGGGGAACCACTGCGTTTGGTTTGGCACTTTTGGAAACTCTAATTCGTGCTGGTATTTGATCTCTGGGGTTAAATCAGGTGTCTCCCCAAGTTGTCCTGGCTGCTCTGTCATCACGTAGGATTCTACAGCTGAAAATGTTTCAAGAAAGGGTCTATTCCAAACTGTTACTTCCGTGGATTCAAAACCTCTGTCTCTGGGCTGCGGTTCAACAAGAGAGGATACAGCTTCAATTTCCTCACTGTCTGGCAGGTCGACTAATGGGCGAATCGCTCCCAGCAATGCCTCCTGAATGGCCTGAATGTTTAACGTCACATCTGAGAAGTCGTGATTTGGCTTGAATTGCTCCATATAGTGCTCTAGATCGGGAGCTTCTTCAACATCCTGATCTAGTTCAGCGTCCTCATCTACGTCGGACAGATTACAGCTGCCCGGTTCAACAATGACGCTCGCAACACTGACCTCTTCGTTTATCTCACACGGCGACGCCTCTCCAAGTCCCGCTGCATCCGACATGAACTCTGACAGCGGCACTTCTTCATACTGCAGGTTCAAGTCGGAGGCATCGACAGGAAAGTGTGCATCGGCGTCGCCGCTTTCGAAGTAACGCTTCACGCTCTCTTCACCCAAGTGTGATATTTGGGTCTTCTTTTTTACCAGGACGTTAGCCGTTTGAACGTCAACCTCCTCCTGCTCCTCCTCCTGCTGCTGCAGTTCCTCTCTAAGCACATCAGTCGGATGATTCTCACGCTCCTCCATGACTGTATGGTCCACGTGACGGACCCTTGGTGTGGAACTCGTCGGCAGGCTTTCTGTAACCGTCGCCTGCAGTGCGAAATCATTATAGGATGGATACACCTGCGCCACAGGCCGAGTTTCCTGCACTGAAAAGTTCTGCTCGATGTCAGTTGTTTCTTGGACTTTAACTACATCACCAATGGGCTGGTGAGGCAGTGGAGATGCTTCAGTGATGCACAATGTCTGATTTGCCACCTTTAGAAAGGGGTCTAGAGCATTGTCTTCTTCAGCATGAGATAATGAATCCAGCTGGAGTTGATCTAAAACAGCAGATTGTAAAATGCACTGATTATCTTCCACACTGGGTACCAAGTCAGTCACAGTATCAACAGCATCTCTCACAATGCTTACATCTTTCTGAATGGGCTTTGGCGGGACAACTGCGAATAATGGGTCGTCTTGAAGCTGCACGTGTGGTTCTGAAAAGATCATCTCTGAACTTTCCACAAGGCGCGATTCTGAACAGATCATGTCTGAACAGATCATCTCTGAACTTTCTAGAAGGAGTGGTTCCGAACAGATCTCAGAACAGATAATCTCTGAACAATTCATCTCTGCATTTTCCAGAAGGCGTGGTTCTGAACAGATCATCTCTGAACAGATCTCTGAACAGATCATCTCTGAACTTTCTAGAAGGAGTGGTTCCGAACAGATCTCAGAACAGATAATCTCTGAACAAATCATCTCTGCATTTTCCAGAAGGCGTGGTTCTGAACAAATCATCTCTGAACAGGTCTCTGAACAGATCATCTCTGAACTTTCCAGGAGGAGTGGTTCTGAACAGATAATCTCTGAACAGATCATCTCTGCATTTTTCAGAAGGCGTGGTTCTGAACAGATCATCTCTGAACAGGTCTCTGAACAGATCAGCTCTGAACTTTCCAGGAGGAGTGGTTCTGAACAGATCATCTCGGAACAGATCATTTCTGAACCTTCCATAAGGCATGGTTCTGAACAGATCATCTCTGAACAGGTCTCTGAACAGATCATCTCTGAACTTTCCAGGAGGAGTGGTTCTGAACAGATCATCTCGGAACAGATCATCTCTGAACTTTCCACAAGCAGTGGTTCTGAACAGGTCATCTCTGAACTTTCCAGAAGGCGTGGTTCTGAACAGATAATTTCTGAACTTTCCAGGAGTTCTTGGACTTGTTCATCAACCGGATAGGAGATCCCAGCCAACCCCTCCGCAGGAACTTCGTGCTCGCGGTCAGCATGCATTCCACGCGCGGGCACGCACTCGCTACCCTCGTCCAATTCTTTAGCGGAGACGGGAGACGACTTCACGATCACATCTTGTGTTACCCCTGTTACCCACGGTTCCACCTGGAGCAATGGACTATCGGCCACCCAGGGGGTTTCCTGGATTGGCAGGGTCTGCTCGACAGCCGTCTCCCGTTCTTCCGCCGCCTCGGCTGCACCGGCGTGCCCGTGACACAAGGGGGCCGGGTCGCTTGGCGTGCACGAAAAGTCACCAACAGTTTCGGCTTCCGGTGCTGCATGAGCTTTTCCATCACTTGAATCCAGCAGCACCCCCTCAGTTGAACTTTCCACAGCTGGCGTTTCTTCCACAATTTCATAATCTTCCCAAGAGTCCTCGCTCGCTGGATTCAGATCGGTCTCAGTATGCCCTTTGGCCATTTCATTGCCCTGGCAGACTTCTGGCGAGTGCTCTTGGCTGACATTAGTTGGGGTTATGGAGTCGTCGTCCGAGGTTTCGTGCGTTTCCTGTACCGATTTGTATTCACCCAGTGCCGCTTGTTTTGACAACACATACGCACAAGGAGCCAATTCTTCACCCAACTGCACGTCATCACAGCTTGTATCCATTCCGACTGGTTCTTCGGGACGCAAAAACTCCTCCAATTTCCCTCCGGCATGAACGCACGATATCGAGTCGTGTTGCAACTCATTGCTATTTCGACTAAAATCTGCAGGAGCCTCCTCTGCGTGCTGAACAACGGCGTCTGCAGTATCGAGCTCGCACTCCGAGTGTTCTGTTGGAGCACGATGTTCGTGCAGACGAGTTGAGTAGGAAACATTGGCCATCTCAAAAGCCTGCAGCGGCATGGAAACCACTTCGGTCAAATATTCACTGCCTTTGAGATCCGCCGGCAAGACCTCTTCATAGAGACTGGCATCTTCAGTCTGCACCGAAACATCACACTCGGTCACTGCAGCCCTTTCAGCAGCAGCAACAACATGATCATCGACGTCGATCGGAGCTTGCGGTTCGTCACAAACGTTCAATTCCGCCTGTGCCTCAAGTGCTTCATTTGCGTCATCTTTGGAGTAGTTCAATTGCACATCTTTTTCCGAGCATCCCGCGGCGGTTGTTCCTGGTAGATCTACGCCCGCCGCTTTGTTCCCCTCCACGTCCCAGCCCTCATCCACTCCGAGCGACGTGGGGGAGTCATCAATGCACTCGCCGGGGTTAGCAGTCGTTTCAGCTTCACCTACAATCCGGAGGTCCTCGTAGCTCTCGTAATGCGAGTAAGCGTTTTCCGTCGGCCTGCGCGCCGCCGCCGGCGGCACCACTACCACCGATTCGAAGGCGGCGTCACCGTCCGTTGGCATGTTCATGTTGAAGTCCGCAGCCGGCTCCTGCCGCAAAGTGCTCATCAAACCCTCGGCACTCCCCTCTGCGCCCTGCTCGCTGGCCGACGAAGGACCATCACCAGAGGCGGCCTCCCCCCCCACCTCTTCGTCGTTCTGGACCAGCACCCTGGAGCGATCGTCGTCCAACTTGGTGGCCACTGGCAACTCGCTCCTCACAACAGTCTGCACGGTGCTCACTTCGACCTCCGTCATCTTGGCGAGCTCGACGCGTCGCTGCGCCGCGCCGGTTTCGGTTCGCGTAGCACGGTCAGGGTCCTCGTTCCGGTCCGCATCAGCAGATGGCTCGACCATATCAGTGGCGTCCTTGGAAGTTGCCAAATTATCGTTGCGCGAATCGGCATCCCGGTGGATCATCGAACTGGCATTGTCCAACACATTATTATTCTCAGAGTCGGCTTCAAAATTAGCAGCCGGTGAAGTTGCTTCACTTGAGGAATCGTCAGTGTTGTCATTCCCTTCCACGTCGTCGAGGCTGATGTGAGAGAATGGGTGAATTCCACCCTCATCTTTCATTTTCTTGCAAAGAGCCGCGATTCGCTTGTTTCTTGAAAATCTGGACCGTTTTTCAGGCTTCTTGATTTCTCCAGTGTCTGCAGGCGATTCAGCATGGGTGCCCTCTTGTCCTCCGACTTGCAGCCTAAGTTCCCGGTTGTTTTCATTTCCTCCTCCAAGCACCTTCTCTTCTCCAGTTGGACTCGTCACCATCAGCTGCAGTGGCACAAAATTCTGCAAACAACAGTTTGAAACGTGTCTTATTAATGAGATCATCATTATGGATGCATTACTTCTTTCGCACCTTATGTAGCCAACCATCCTCAGGGTGCGGCGGACGGAAAACTAAACACAAAAAGCAGTTCTAGAGAAATTAGTTTTCAATCTAGATTTAAAAGTGCATAGCCCTAGGTGGGGCTTCCTAATTTTGGAAGAAAGAACATTCCAGAAGGCCGCAGAAGCGCATCTGAAAGAGCGTGATGCAGCGTCCGTCTTTGTTCGATGACTAGCCATAAGAGCCATATTATTACAATACTTATCAACATAAGCTAACAGAAGTGTGGAATAGGCATGTCTTAAAGTGTCATCATCATCACCAAAATCGTTGTCACCATCAATAAAACCATAATTTGACTTTTGTAACAAGATTTACCGCCTGTGATATTCTGACAACAGTCATGAGAATGACATTAAGGTCAAGGTGTGATTTAAGAACTTGACAAAAGAAGGCTATCAAGTTAGCCTGCCGATAAACACGAGCAAAAAGTTGCACATGTAACAAGTTTGATAAAATTAAAAGTATTTTTGGATTGCCACTGGAAGACAATGGTATATATACACTTCGGGAAAAGTTTGAAAGCAGATTTGAAGCACACAGATTTCTGTTAACGGTTTGATACTCATTATCTGGGAGGGAAATTAAGGGATGCGATTTCAAAAGGAGCTAATATCAAGGGCTGCAGAGAAAAAAATACCTGCCAAAGCGAGATGTAAAAATCTAAGTAAACATCATAAGAGTAATACACACAAAAGATGAGATGTAAAAGTGTGTGATAGTGACCTCTAGATTGGTTCTTCCATCATGCCTTGCACGTCACATCACCACACCGTACGTGCGGTATATATAAACGCACAGAGCCGTGTGTTAAACCACCAACTCGAAGGAGTAAAAATTGTGGCCATATTATTTTAGACAGCAGCATTGACGATAACCGTACAGTATACCGGTTTCATCCCTGTTAGGAATCGCCGGGACAGTACAGCAATACCGCTAACTACTGCTGCCTTGTGCCTCGGAGGGCTTCGTGTGGACAAGCCCTGCCTGGGCACTGTGGCGACAGTTTGGCCTTGCCGAAGGGCGGCAATAAACCAATTCCGATGCTTTTTTTTTCCCCGTAATAGAAACTCGGTCAAAAAAGTGTATCCAGGAAGGAAACAAATAGGAATAACAATACACGCAAAAAGGTGATTCATAGACCAGCAAATGAAAAGTTACACGAGCTCAGCAATCCGGTGACCACACCACACAGACATTAACTTTCATCTCATATTCACCGGCAGCTGTTTTGTGTGAAATGATGGGACTCGGCAGACTGTCCAACTATGAGCTGAACAACAGGAACTCCAATCCAGAAATAAGACCGATTAAATTATATTTCCCCCAATGATGAGAAAGAAACTAAAATCCGTTTAAATATAGGTCAATGACACCCGGAGAAAGCTAACGAAGCCACCAGACAAAAGAGGTGACTCGGGACTGCAGACGAAATGCTTCCAAGGGAGACGTAGATGTGCTTTGGTGGTGGCACAGAGTATTAGGATTAGTCGGGATATTTACAAGTTATTTTTAGTATTGTTACTAACTAGGAGGTGGTAGGCCGTGGACATCTGAAGCAAGGAAATTGGTTTTGCTCACTGTAACTTGCTATAGTTGCCACCAGTGTTAAATTCCCCAGCATTTATATGATGAAGCTGGATTATAAAACACAGGAAATAGCACAACTACCTATGGGCACACACTCATACACGAGTTATGCCGTTTAGTCCACAGACATGCATGAGTGTATTCTAAAGAGTAAGACAAAGAAAGCAGCCTTGCAATTGATTTCTCACCCAACTGCCGACAGATGGACCTCCACTAGATGGAGTTATAGAGAGCTCCTCAAGAAAGGGTGTTTTAGCCTACTCTTCCACACTGGTCTGACATATTGGAAAAGGTGGGGGTACCCCCACAATTAAAACCCTAGCATGCGCAACCTGCCCATCGACTAACCGACGCACCCATTCATACTGCCGAATGGACAGAGGTGGGGATGAATTGATCAACTGCCGCGCCGGGAGATTGAAACGACCCGGTGACCTATGGATTGAAAGCCCCGCGTGCTAACCATTACACCAAGGTGGCATCGCGATTATAAATTATATCCTATCTGTGCTGGACAAGTCATATGTTGAGGTGGAGTCACATCATTGCAGAATTCTCACCGCTGTCAACAGAGGCACATGACAGACGACACCACAGAACCACGTCTGGAATCTCTCCAATCGGCCTCTCACACAACACTGCATGGCGCTCTTTCACAGTCTATAGCAGTATTTTTCACACATTTTCAGGGGCGGATGGGGTATACACTTTCGCCGATAAGACATCATCTGTATGAGGGCCGCCACACATTTGAAACCACTGGGTGTTTGACAGCAGCATGATGATGGGGGGTGATTTCACATGTTGTGTATTGTCGTGGGCCACACGTAAGGGGCCACACGAAAGGCCGCCAAGCGAGCCGCCAGTGGCCCGCGGGCCTTGCAAATGAAAACCACTGCCCTCAGAATTGTTCTTTAAATATTCATCATTTGATACATTTCAGTTTTACCTGGGCAGAGCTGAATTTAGTGAAAAGCCAAACAGTGTTGTGCTATTTTGATTTAAAGCTTTCGTGACTGCAGGGATTCATATTCTTGGTTCCTTCGGTAAAGTCACGTAGAAGGGAAATAATAAAATAATATAAATATAAAACAATAAAAATTCTCACAACGTTTCGACTGCAACACAAGCAATCATCATCAGGTGTGAAATCCACAGGAAGAATTTTTATTTTCAAATTTTCTTGCTGTGGATTTCACACCTGATGACGATTGCTTGTGTTGCAGTCGAAACGTCGTGAGAATTTTTTGTTATATTTATATTATTTTATTATTTCCCTTCTACGTGACTTTACTGAAATAACTAAGAATATTACACCCTCATCAATTACACCCGTCCATAGCGCCGTTTGCTGCTGGCCACTTGACGTGCCCGGTGACCGTGATAGATAAAAATGTGGCTTAATAAAAAAATATATCTGGACAAATTTAAACCCAGGATCTCTCTGCAGTGCAGGTTCAACACTCAGACAAGTGCAATGAGAGCCATGTCACGTGACATCTCTCCAGTGTTCATGTTGCTGTGGTTGTGGCAACAAGTTGCGCGTCGCCTCCGGTCGACCAACGTCGCGGGAAATATTGCCGCGCCCGGCACACCACATCCAGTATACGTCTCGCTACGGCTGTGATATTTTGGCAGTTGGTTTACAGCAGCTGTTTAATTTTACGGAGAATGTATCAATTCATCGATTAACATCAATTCTTATGTTTATGATACGAGTATTGAACAACGCTTGTAAGAACCGATTATGTTCAATTTACGTGTCTTGTTGCCAAATAATAGAATGGACCTCGAATTATGTCAAAAATAACAAACCTACTTTATACAAATGCCTTCCAGGCAGTTATCAGAAGCCAAACGGTATGTTTCAACCCCCTAAGGAAGGTAACAGGGTCTGCATCCTGCTGCCATAACGTGTTGTTTTAAGGAAGGTGCTTCTGTAGTGCCTGCAAGCACACGTAATAAAAGTAGCAATTCAACAATGCAATTAAAATATTATGCTCACATGCCTTCATAAAACTGTATAAGTGACAATTATTTAAGATTTGGAAATGTTGTCTTTAGACTAGTGGAATGAATCAAATTAAACTAGAGCCACAAAATAATTTAATTGTGACCCTGAATCGTGACAATCAATCTAACTGTGGGGAGGGTAAATTATTACGAGCCTAGAGGAGAATCTTTAACTATAAATCAAACTTTTCAAGGAAAATATTTTTTAAAAATCGTTCAATAAAGTAACAGCAGAAAGAGGGAGTCATGCCGTGGTTAACGGTTAGCACACTGGACTTTCAATCCAGAGGGCACCGACTCGATTCTATCTCCCGGCACGGCAGTTGAAACAACGTTGCAAGTTTCTTAAACCCCTCCACCTCTGTTCACCCAGCAGTAGACACTAAATGGGTTCACCACAGTTAAATTGATCGGCAGGATGCATATGGCGGGACGTGTGGGTCACTCCCACGTATTCCTATCCATCAATGCCCTTTTGCGGATGTCTATAGCACTCCCTCCAGTGGAGGTCCTTTGACAGCAGTTGGCTAAGCAAGCAAATGCAGAGCTGCACCTTCAGCTAACAGGAGCCACATTCCCTTAAGGGACTACGGTTTTGCCACGATAAACACCAAATGCATTCGCTCTACCCTTCGTGCCAATCTGTTCGGGCTCGTCATGCTATCCAGCGTGCAGATATAGCTGCGTGGAATGAGGAGGGAAAAGGGAGATGTGCCTTCGTTTGGTCGGGCAGCGGGACAATTAACAGAGCGTTGGCACAAATTGGATCGCGCGCCTTTGCCGTCAATGCACTGCAACAACAAGGAAATTGCAGCAGAGCCCCGTTAATCACGGTTGACCTGCTTGGCAGTCACTTAAACCTACGTGCGGAGCGTAAACAACCGGGACAATGAAAGGGATGTGCAGCCAGGCTGACGGGCAACGTAAATTTGGACGGTCGTTCTCGGTGGCTGTTGTGTGAACCGCAGTCGCCTGCCAGGACATGAACCACGTGGCACAGACAGGCCCTGTTAGAACGGAGCGTAATTAGACTCCCAAGTCGAGGTTAGTTCATTCAAATGGTGGCTGTTGCAAAGTAAATAATATTCCGTCACAGGAACGTGGAACGTCCACAAATGGCTCGGGAACAGCAATGAAAAAGAGTAACAGCTGACGGGCATTTGGACACCTGATCGAATAGACTTCTTTAAAGGCAAGTCTGAAAATTGTGTTAATTCTATTCGGTGGCAGCTTAGGCCAGGCCCTGAGATGAACAGCAGTTACGTTATTCATAACAAATAGCCATCACGATGTAATTCTAACAATGCTTGCTATCTTCTTGGTTCTTTCGGTAAAGTCACGTAGAAGGGAAATAATAAAAAAATAAAAATAAAACATAATAAAATAAAAATTCTCACGACGTTTCGGCCACTACACAAGCAGCCGTCCTCAGGTGAAGAAACAGAGCTGTCGGAAAGACATTGGGACGCTTCACCCGAGGACGGCTGCTTGTGTTGTGGCCGAAACGTCGTGAGAATTTTTATTTTATTATGTTTTATTTGATTTATTTTATTATTTCCCCTTCTACGTGACTTTACCGAAAGAACCAAGAAGACGAATCCCTGCAGTCACGAAAGCTTTAAATCGAAAAATGCTTGCTATATTCGTATGTATAAATGGACCCAAGGTCTAGCCTGGAGCACCATCTTACGAACACAGCAGTGTCATCCACAGTTTTCTGTTCACAGCACAGAGTGAATAACATTTCGCAGAATTGGTACATGGGCCAGTCAACTCTTAACGTCTAGTGAAATAAAAAAAATTCGACCACATAATCATGCCTACCAACAAAAGTACGTAGGCAGACCAAACATTTGCGTAATTTCCTCCTTGTCAATCTTATATTGCAGCACGGCAACTTCCCCGAGATAGGAGCACGTTGAAGCTGGCACAACTGTGGGTTTTGAAATCGTTTCTCGCTGGATGTAACTGCGGCAAACTGCATCAATCACAACCTAAAAAAAGGTTTGAGACTAAGAGAATCCCATTCGGTTAACAGCTTCGCCATCCATCCCCCTGGGGCGAAACAAAACTACCGACAAGCCAAGAGGACGCACTCGCTGCCTCGGGACAAGTTCATTTTTGCCGCTATACATTTCCCCATGAGGAGCCATTTTGTTGAGCCATCATTTGTGGCCAGGTCGCTTCTGAAAAATAGTATAGTTCAATGGGCTTTATTTGGCGAGTTAAATTGTTTAGGTTTTTTTGTGCATATATTTTTACCGATCTATACTTTGCACTCCTATTGTGTTTTTGTACTGTTGTTGTAACGTTCTGACCTGCCCCCTACTTGAAAATCTGTAAAAAAGAGCTTCATAGCTCTTCGGCTTCCTCCAGTATAAATACAGATTCTGATTTTCCACCACCACTACCACCACCGCACTCAAGGCAGCCAATCAGGATGAGCAATGACCCCAAGGGATCGCTCAATCCGGGCGACCGCTTTGGCCGTTTGCCTTTACGCCGCCCGTGCCTGGAAAAGTTCGCCAGACGAGGTGGCGCATAGCTGGAATGCAGTGCATTAGAGGCAAAGGTCATGGGACCACGTTATCGTTGAGTGAAGCTCATCCTGGTGGCCAGCTGTACGCTGCTTTTCTGCTACACGTTCTTTGCTTCGGTCCCCCAGAAACAAAATGCTCCTTAAAATAAAACCAACCTCCCGCCCCCCCCCCCCACCAAACATTCATGACTTTTTAACTTGGCCAGGCTTTTCGTGGACACGGGGCATTATTATTTAATAACAAATGTACACATCGCTACACATAGCGACAAGTGTACGAGGCATTGCATTAAAATACAAACGGGTGGCAGCACAATAGTGAGCGCGCTGTGCTGCGAACCCGGTGACACGAGTTCATTTCCTGGCCGCGGCTAACATCAGTGGGAGCCAAGCGACGTCAGAATCGTTCCTACAGATCCCGGCCTTCATCAACCTGCACTGACCAGGGTGGTGAAGTATGGTCGCAATTTCCAAACGAAGGCCTGGTGGATCGCAAATGCCCGGATTTAATTATTCATGGATTTTATTTGTTTCCATTAATTGTAACACACAGCTTTTAAGAGAAACCGAACATCGATCTTGGAAGTTTGGTGTGATGTGGGGCAGGGGTTGGCAGTGTGCTGCTTTAAACGCTACGACTCATTCCACTCTTGAACCTTATGGCGGGACCCCGGGATCTGATAACCCCCCGGCTCTCGCATAAACTGCGTTGCGACGTAATTTTATGTCTGTTGAAGGCAAACGATAAGGCAATCTATTCCTCTCGACGAGCTCTACACGATGCGCTAATCAGTTTTGTTTATGACTACGGCAATTTTGGCAACGACGGGTGCTTGGTGAAGAACGAGAGGATTGATTTTTGGTGGGTCGTGGCGTTTATGTGCGCGGTGGGACGGAGTCGCCAAAAATTAATTACGATTTGATTTCCGTTTATTCGAGACCCCGGGGTCCCGCCATAAGGTTGATCTGACCCCAACGAGTTAAGTTTAAGTTTTTTCTCAATTGTCCCACAGGCCTGATAAAAGACTAAACTTTATTTATCTTACCAGGGTGTAAGGACCACTGAGCTATATAGCTCTTTGTTCAGAAGCAACCTGGACACAAATGATAGCTTTACGAAACGGCTTGCCATGTGCACATTTATAGTAGCCAAATACTCTAAATGTGTGATGATGATTCTAAATGCAGAAGGATAAACCGGAGGACCCGGAGAAATAGCCACGTGACCACGGGGAAAGACAACATACAAACTCCAAATATACAAGCATCAAGGTCGAGATCGAACCCATGACCTCTTCTGTACTAGGCAAGGGAGTTAACATGTATGTTTAACTTCTTTTGCACCTTACGTAGCCAGCCGTGCTGAATCAGAGATTCGGGGGAAGGACAACAAACTAAAAAAGGCAGTTCTAAATAAATTAGTTTTCAATCTATATCTAAACGTGCTTAGCTCCAGTGGCTTCCTGATACATCGGAAGGAAGAGCGGTTCCAGACGGTCGCAGAAGCGCATCCGAAACATCCTCGCCACCGCGGCACCCCAGTGGCGAGATGTTACACCACGCACACGGACAAGAAAGGGAACGCGACCTTTCCTTGAAGAGCTCCCCCCCCCTCTCCTTCAATGTGCCCTCTGCTCCGACACCAAGGGCATTCTCCAGCAGACCAGCCAAGAGGCAGCTGTGCTTTGCCCTTTTACGCTGCCATTTAAAATCTGCTGCGAGATAACCTGCACAAAGCACTGCTTAAAATGCAAGAACTGCAATTTAGACTGCGCATGTGTGTCGTGTTGCAGTACTCGGTGCTATGAATCACCCCGAATCTGGGTTGAATTGCTGTCAATTAACACCGACAGTACAGTGGTGTTTGGATATGGCTTGGGTATCCCCTAAAGTTCGTTCAGCCTAATAAATCATACCTGGTGCAAACATGTGCTCGCAAACAGCAACTACCCTAACAGCCTATAAAGCTAAATTGAGGATATTTGCACGTGTGTCTGGCCATGTGTGTGCAAACTCTCATTAAATGCCCTAAGATTGTAAAAACAAACTTTTAGAGGCCTTGGCCAATATGAAAGTGCTATCAATTTCACAAGACTTTTTTCTTGCCAGCCATGGCTATGAACTCGATGAACCCAGGACACATCAATATGGCTGGCTGAATGGAAGTCGATAATTGCAATACTGTACTGTGTAAACACACACACACACATAGGAGCTATAGTCAGTATGGTGCTGCTGCAATTACGTGGGGAAAGAGATTCATCATACCCACTGTGACATGTTACGATTCATAATACAATCATCTCGTGGAGATAAATGCTTGAACTCTGGACACGCGCAGTACTTGATGTTTATATGCACACACGTGGCCATACTATTACACCCTTTTAACCAGAAAAGCCTCCGAATCTCAAAACGAATACATGGCAGTCATGTTTAATAAATTCCTGTAAAAATGGGTTTGCAATGTTCCCAAACTTTATCACAATTTGTCTATCAGCATCATGAAACAAAGTATCCATTTGGATCTCTCACGGGAATCTTCTGTAATAAAATGACCCACGGAAGCAGATATTGCAGAGCTACTTCCGAGATCCCTGCAAGCGACCTCTGGGCCTCGCACACACGACAGCGGGGGCAGCACTTGTCCCACCTGCTCCGTCACAGAGCGTAATGTCCGTCGCATGTCAGCCACAACGACATGTCATTCTGAGAGGCGGAATTTAGTCTCATTCCTAATTCATGACCAGAGCAATACCCCGATGGCACCACAACTCACCATGGTTTCCTTCCTTCTGCTACAGCCTGCGGCTGTTGCAAAGTCAACCTCCTCTAACCTCCAAGGTTTGCTTCACTGTTGACTTGTGCAATGTATACACGGTTTGGCATCATACACTGCATTGACACAAGGTATAGTTGTGTACGCAAGCAAATTCCATTGTAGGATTTGAACTCCGGGTTTTTTTTGCTGCGCTGGCTTAACGCTGTGAGACAGGCACAGCGTTAACCAACCGATACATCCCCCGGCAAATCAAAGAATTCTTACAATTAGGTGTTAAGTCAGGATTAAGGAATCAACACCATCTCTCATTAGTCGTTTCTTACATTGTATGGTTTCCTTCTGCTATTATCCTAAATGTTACATTTTAGCATACCACGTGAATATCACTCTACAAAATCGCTTCTTGCGTGCACGATTCGACGAACGTATCACGAGTGCAAAATTTATTTTAATCCATTAAGTCGATGCCTTACTACACGACTCGTATACGACCACGTTCTGTGGAGTAAACAGCACGATGGAAATGTACCTCCATTGAACTGCTGGGCTTGAGATGGCTTGGGTGAAGTGGGTCTGAAGTTCCAAGATCATTCACCTTCATGTCTGTGAGAGAATGGCAACACAATATTAAAGACGCTCTTCATTCAATCACATCTTATACAGTCTGTATTACTCAAAGTGTTCTTGTGCACGATTTCCAATGAACATCAAGAATATTTCATGAAAATGTTAAACAATTAACTGGAATTAAAAGAGTGCATAGCTTAGTGCTTTCTCTTACGAATGCCATTTTCAAACGTGTTATGGGATGCATTTGTATGCAATACGCAACTGAAATGCATTCATGCCGAGCATGAATTCCGAACATTATATTCAATAACAAATCAAATACAATCGATTAAATCCATTACTTCCGCTGGATAAAACACCTGCCAGATATCCTGTTGATGCTATAGTGCCCCGACGTGTTTCTGGGTTGTACCACTCGCGTCTCAACTGTATCAAGCAGCCCGGCCAATGAGCACAACAAATCCATCATTATAATTTAGGTTAATTTAATTAATTTGGTAAACATTCCAGCTCTGGCAATTAAAATATCGGTTTGGCTGCCGTACGGCGACAACTTCTCTACGGCAGGGCATGTGGGAAAGTGTCGTGCCCCTAGTGTGGAGGGGACCTCAGATGTAGTTCTGCAACATCTCCTTCTGATGGCTAATCACCAGCACTAGCTACCGACACCAAAAGTCGTCCGAAAAAATTGGGGACAAGGACGAGAAATTTCCTCTGACATTAGTGTACAGGTCTTGAGACAGACACAGACGTTGCCTTAAAAACAATCCCACTATCTTCGTCCACTATGTCATGCAAAATAACCTTCAAGTAAGTTTCCAATGTTGAGATAAAAATAAAGTCACGTAAGGAGCACTGCGTTGTGGAATACAATACATGCCGCTCGGCACAACGTCCAAATGTCGTTTCTCTACTCATTCGGTGTCATTAGCTCCGCCGCAGAAGCATCTCCCGGCACGAGGAGCGAAACGTCAGACATCACAATGAACGACGCGTGTTCTTCAACCCGAAGGAGGCATCGGAGGGAGAGCCGTTCGGCACCACAGCGATAACAAAACCCATGCAGCGGTACAACAAGCACACTCGAATCGGCGAGCGGTATCCAAGTGGGTCAGCAAAGCAACTGTAACCACATTCCTGCAGACTTTACAGTGGCTCAAAGACCACAACCCTCCCTGCTACAAAAGCGAAGTCAAGGTGGGGGAAAGGTGAGCTGCACAGGGGTTGTGTCTGCAGTGCACGACAAGGACGTGTTTACATTTCGGAATTAACGTTGGCGTTTTGAGACAATGCCTAGGTTTGTGCGCCCGCCTGCGTAGCTCGGCGTGCAAGCCTGGGCGTTTAACTGGAAGGGGTTTTATTCTGCAAAAGGACAGATGCCTTGGCGGTCAGTTAGTGTTGTCAGTGTTGGCCCACTGGCTGTGATATTTTTAGCGCAGTCACAAAAAACTGCAGTACAGTGCAGAGTATTACTTTTCTTGCTCACTCCAATGCACTGCAGCAGTTGCACCGAGAAGATTAAACCCCCAGAACCAGAAGATCAGATTTGCTTTACACCATAGTGTTGTAATTCATAATAGTTATTATTGTAGCCCTCATTTAATTGCATGCCCTTTGCTCAAAGAAGTGCCCTGTGTTGTTTTGCAAAGGGGAAAAAGGTTGGAAAACACATTTGTAGGTCAAGTAAAGACTTCTCCAATTTTAGTTGCGGCCAGATTTAATTTGCAACATGGGGCTGCTACACCAGAAATCAATTCTTGGCAATGTCAAAAGATAGGTCACCATTGATTTGTTGTAAACTAATTCCACAAACACTTGTTTAAATAAAATCTAAATTATAAGATTGCGATAATTATAAAAAACATTAACAATAATATTTACAATTGACGGGGGGGATCTGGTAAATACAAAACCATAAACATAGTCGGGGAGTATAATAAGTGGGCGTATGTCAATACCCCCCTAGAGACTGGGCATGGTTGAAAAGACTTGGATTTGTTGAAATGCCTCGGGCTCAGAGCCAGACCAGCGGGTCAAACAAGGCAACGCGACAAGCGACAAGCCTGTGTGCCAAATAATGGGGGGGGGAGCCACACACAGAATCCATGGATTTTTATTCCTGGACGTGGTGGGGGGGGGAGGCAGGGAAATCACGAAGCTACTTTTCACCCGGAGAAAGCAACGTGCACAGGAATTGGGCATGATGAGGTTTGGTGGGTTATTTCATCTTGCCATATTGGTCTCTTCATTAGCCATGCATAGGGGGGGGGGGGCAACGTTGCAAATGCGCCTGCTCAATGATTGGCACGCGGCCAAGCAGTATACAGTGCTTTGCTGCAATGGGCTCCACGGTTCTTGCCCCAAGCAAATAAACACGCTGGGCCATTCGCCACCAAGGTTGGTGTTTGCACGAAAATAAAGATACTGCTCCGTGGCGCAACTTGATATGCAGTGCCCACAACACGATTGATAAGGCAATGATTGGCCGATGAAATATGACAATGGCACGGGTCACCAATGGGACGGATCTTGCGAAGTCAACTGACATTTTACCATGGTTACTCTCAAGTAGTATAAACTCGAGTGACAATGCCACGCAAATGGATAACGTATACTACTGGTCTTGTACATTGTGAAATGGGTTTTGCATGTCAAACAACAATGTCTATTCAAATGTAGCATTATGTCTACGTGTTTAGTTTATGTAATTTTGCATTTCAAGCCATCATCAGACATGGCCTTCATCCAGCAGTCGATTGACCTCGCCAAACCACAGTCATCTCGCCCGCAACTCCTCAAGCATATTGATCGGGCAGGTTTGCAACGTAACACTCATCTAACTAGTTGGCCTTGAATTGCAAACAACACCTCAGATTAGCACGGATGGCTACGTAGGTGCAAAACAATTTCAACGTACATACACGTTTAAATACGCATATTTGACAAAATGCGAGCACGCGTTTTGTCAAAATGAAGCACCGCATTTTATCGAGCGGTGCGGATTACAATCGGATCCCAGAAAGAAAGATTCACGTTTCAGACTTAATGCTGCGGAATTACGAGCTTTGGCCACATTGCTGTAAAAACATCCTATTATGGTCTTGGACTCCACTCAAAAAGGAAACGAAGTAAAACAAGTGGAATCTAACGGATTACCATCATGTTCATTGTAACGATTGCAATGATAACCTTGGCAGAATACCTACACCGAGGACAGCGCAGTTTACATGCCAAGCCACTGCGCCAGTCTGCACTGGTTTGGAACTTTGATACCTGCAGACCCAGTGTAATGCAGCGAGGCATTTCCAAAATAAATTATTCTGCCCAAGCAAAAGTCAGAGACCCCATCACCCATGAAAGGAGTCCCCCAAGTGCCCGTGCATTGGCCAATAGCCAACTTACAAAAAAGATATTTGAAAAAAAAGCTGTCAATAATTACCGTTTTCTTTACATGATGACATGCACTTTTGTCCTCCCTTGTATTTTAAAACAAAAGTAGTTGGCACATCTTATAATCCCGGTCAGTGTTGGTTGTGTGTAACCAGAATTGGAAATCTTGAAAATATAAACATGAAACAATATACAGCCCTTGTTCAAATCCGCTGTTGGATGACCACCCTCCCGTACCATGTTGGCTTGGGGGGGGGGCTATGCTTCACCATGCTGGTCTGTGTGGATTAGGGAAGGTCGTGGTGGTGGGGTGGAGCTGGACACCTGAATGTCACCCAGGTCCCTAATACTAAAAGAAACTGTAGGGCAACACGACTCAAAAGTTGCTTTTCAGGGTCTTTAAGTATTAGGATAATTACACGTTAACACAATTGTGGCACAGATGAACCAAAATACCTTGCCGATCTCGTCTAAGGGGACAAACGATCACGTGAACTCCGGTCTTCCTCGCAGTGGCTTTTGGCTAGCCATCGAACAACAGTCACTGCTTTCAGATGCACCATCTATGGCCATCTGGAATGCTCTTCCTTGTGATATTCGGAAGCCGCTGGAGCCATGCACTTTTAAATCTAGATGGAAAACTAATTTGTTTAGAACTGCTTTTTGTGTTGAGTTTGTTGTCCTTCCCCCACACCTCTGATTCGCAGGGTTGGCTAAGTACATACATAGAGGTTAGCGCACGAATTGGGCTACCCGAGTTTGATTACTTGCCACGGCTGCCAGTGATACATTTATCCTGTCCCGAAAGGTTGCCCCTCACACACACCAGTTCCCCCTCTTACCAGCCCACATTGACCAGCATGGTGAAGTATGGTCACAACTGACATGGCTTGGGGGAGGCCTTTAACCAGCAGTGGATCGATACGTTTTTACAGAAATATGTTTTTCTAGAATTGTGTTCACACTTTTTGAAACGACAAATACACTTCGCAGAAATGCATTTATATATTTACACGCTCTAACTAAAAAAAAACCTCTAATGGATTTCATTGGTCACAAAAGCCTACGTATTAAAACACATTCCTGCGGAAGGAGCTGGTAGGAACGTTGGGTTGCTCGGTCAATGGCCAGGGTCAACGGCGGCGTGGTGTATTCCGCAAATATGGCCGACTGTGAGGGCGGGCACAAGCTGGCGTGAGTAGGTTACACGTTGAGTTTTATAAGGGCACCACCCCTCCCACCCCGCACCCAGCACCACCCCTCCCACCCCGCACCCAGCCCCACCCTCCCCACCCTCCCCACCCTCCCCACCCTCCCCACCCTCCCCACCCTCCCCACCCTCCCCACCCTCCCCACCCTCCCCACCCTCCCCACCCTCCCCACCCTCCCCACCCTCCCCACCCAGCCCCTTCCCACCCTCCCCACCCAGCCCCACCCTCCCCACCCAGCCCCTCCCTCCCCACCCAGCCCCTCCCTACATCACGGACGGACACAATAATCCCCTGTGGGCTGGTGTAACCAGAAGGATCTCTGTACGCTGCAGCTGTTGGGAGACAAAACTTTACGCTCCCTCCGTCTCCACGAGACTTCCCCACTTCAAAACGAGGGCTCGTTCCCAGCGCAAACCCACCACCAATGGAGCAGTAACCTACGCACAAGTAATGTTAACACTGGCACGTATTGTTATTTATCGCAAATGGGACTTTAACATGACAATAAATATGCCCTCAACAGTTCGACTCTTGGCTGCAGCTAGGACGTCTGGGTTAAAGAAGAAACTCATTAACATCTCGGCCCAGTAATGACCACATGCTGTGATGTGAATTACAAAATAGAGTCGTGCTGGAAACTCGCTTTAGTTTGCACTTGTTTCAACTGCACATGCAGGAATGCGCCCGGCCGTAAAATATATACAAGCAGAAAGCAAATGCCCCAGATAACATAATAAGGCAAGGTCGATGTCATAAGGTTATGACACGGCTAATGCTAATGTGCAAAGACAAGTCTGCAACAAGTCGTCGTGTGTTGGTTAAATTGACCAAATATTATTTAGGAAAAAGTCAACGACACGCGTTGCAGTTTCCCTTTCAACGAGTTAAGAAAAATAACACTCGGGAGGGCGTCCGAATTGGCAGTGGAGAAGCTAAAGCTGAAAACACTTTTCACCACCATCATCATGAACACCACCTTCCTCTTGGTTCTTTCAATAAAGTCACGTAGAATGCAAATAATAAAATAATATTATATTTATTATTATTGTATTATTTCCATTCTACGTGAAAGTCACGTAGAATGGAAATAATAAAATAATATAATTTATATTTATTATTTTAATTATTATTCTCTTATTATTTCCATTCTACGTGACTTTACCAAAAGAACCAAGAAGATGAATCCCTACAGTCACGAAAGCTTTAAATCGAACACCACCTTGTCACCAATAAAGAGGCACACATTGGTTGATGCATTAGCTTACTTTCAGTCAGAAGGCGACGTTATTAACAAACGGCAGTACAGTAATGAAACAATAACCTTTGGGCAGTCTCAATAGCTCAGTGGCGACGCTATGAACATTGGCACTGCAGTGTTTTTCTGCAATCATGAAGCGGTTGCTAAGAAGCACCTATCAGGAGCCACGCAGCAGATAGTACAGGCGCACTCAACACATTTGCAAAGCAGCAAATTTTACAACTTCGAGACCATCAGTTGACCCAAGCCATCATCATTTGTTTTGGGTTCGGTGAAACGACCACCACCCCCCGGTTAAAAGGAGGTCGAATCATTTTGTGCAACGATAAACAGTGGTTGCATTGTGGGTGGACTTGTTCCTACTATACAATTATGTGCAATTTCAAAAGGATCAAGATCACCATTGGAGATCTACGCCATCACACACGTATTTGAATTGATATTTGCGTTTCATTACAGCGGTATAGATGCATTGAAATGTCCACATTTACTCTGCGGTAAGGATAGTTGGTGCTTGCTTTGGGGTTCAGGGAGTATGCCTAGTTTTAGAACTGTGGAGAAATACATTTCCCGAGTGGCAAAACGTATTTGCACAAAGTCAATGGTCCACTTACTGCATTGCAAAAGGAATTCGTTGCTGTAGAGTGCACATAAAATACCTCCATATATTTTGTGGGCTATTTTTGCCAAGTGATGTAGCCAGATTTATTTATTTAAATTTAGCACAATGCTGCACTCGCAACAACTGAAATCATGGTTACTCAGTTCTTCTTGCACGAGTAATACATTTCAATGCACTCACCTGGTTAAATAATGGACAATACCTGCCAGCAAAAACCTCTACTTACCAACCCTTACACAGGGTGTTTCAAAAAGATGGACCCAATTTCAAAGATATAGCGATGTCAAATCGGGTCCATCATTTTTAAACACCCTGTATTACTCTTTGGTTCTTTATTATTAACAATGATGTTAAACATGAGGACCGTGCTGAACGCAAGTTTTATTTTTCATAAAATCTAAATACGCTGTTATCAAAACACACACGTTGCCCACAACAGATGAATTTCGGCGATTCGTCATTTCAACCAATACCTTTACACGTTTGAATTTCCGTACCGTCAGCGACGTCCTCGGCCTGCAGTGTCTCTGGAGAGGCCTCCCAGCTGCAGAGGGCACAACGAGAGGACCTTAAAACCCCAATCCCAAAGCATTATCCACATCATATTAATCCGCAATCATATTACCCACAGCTCCTATTATCAGAGGGAGCTGCAAAAAGTCCTGGCATCCACACCATTATTTCTCCCTATCTGCAATTATCGGTTTCTTTTTAAATCCTTTATATTAAGTTTGCTTGCTTGCTTGCTTAGGACCGTGCAAATCTTTTGGTCGTTTTTTAACCCACTTCCTGTGATCCAATCGAGCTGACATTTTGCACACAGACTTGTTGTGTGTGACAATGAATTTTCGTGAATTTTTTTCCCCAAAATTTTACACTGTTTAGGGAATTTTTTAAAATATTTATTTACCAATTGGTTAATGCTGGCACACAATCATCTGACCCATAGGTGGCAGCCATCTCAAGCCAGAGGACGAGAGGACTCTAGCCGCCCCAATGCCACGCATATAAAGGATTTATAGTGAAAAACTTTGTTTTTACGGGTTAATTTTTTCTGTCTGCATTGCAACATGGGTTCATATTATTCACAATTTTCGTGGATTTAGAGGAAGCTACCGGCAAATTCATCCTGTTATCCGAGGGGCCATGCGCCAGTCTGGAAGGATCCCTTATTCCAGGCATGCAATGTGGGAAATTACATCATAACTCCTATTATCTGGGAAGTTTTTTCTGCAGATAAGATAAGCTTATTGGAAAACTCATCATTTCAATCACGTGTTTTTTTTTTCTGTGGATAAGTGGAGTCAATTGAATACAATTGGGTGATGTTCATCGCCGCAATGTCATTCAAGAACAATCAATTTTACTGTATCGCATCCCGAATGGAAAAAAAATCTGCATTTGTTTTTACCTCTTGTCTATTAACACGTCAAGACGAACAGGTGTTTTGGCTGCACGAGATGATGTAACTATACGGTCTATGATAAACAAAACCTCAAGAAATACTCATGCAGAACTGAGATGAAAAAATACATGTTAAGTGTGACAGCAACTAAACCAGGCAATTTGCTAATTGTATATAGTGATTGACAACTTGGCACTTGAAACTATTGTGAAGGTATACCAGAAAAGCTGGCCCAATTTTATCTAACAAATAAGAAGAATACTGTTAGTGTACTAACCATACAATAGAAGATATATTCCAACAGGTCTCCAAATCATGAGGCTACGGGTTTGGCAAGTGTCAACAGTCCATTATTATTTCTGGGTGGAAGATGGTAGCCTTCTCGCGGCCCACCTGTTAAGTGCCTCATCGCACGACTAATACCTTCACTTCGGCCTTTTTGGAAATCGTTTATTTTATATTTCAAATGTGTAAATCGCGTCCAAAAAACGGTCCTTTCAAGGGCCAACTGATCAGACAGACTTAAACTTGGACGTATGATTTGCACACTTGCCATACGCTAGAGAGATTATTTCTGTGGTTGATAATATACGCATCATCAATGTTGAGAATGCACAACTTTGTGAAAAGCCACGTGGTTTTAAACCACATCCCCGACCACTGAAACATGGAATTTCTAATACTGGCTCAGGACCACTCAATAAATAGCATTGCCTTGAAATGAGACTGAGCGTTTTAGTTGTTTTTACAATCAATGATTACATTTTATGGCCAATGTAAATTCCTTCATTGGTTGTAAAAATACAACCACAACAACATTATAGATTGTCACCATTCGTAAAAATAAGTAAATATATCTTGTATGGAATCCACTGGCCTTCCTTCTAATTTCTGAAAAGTCAAGCCAAATTTATGACAATATTTTAAAACCAGCCAGTGGCATTTAAATCACGGCCGTAGCAGCCATTCTTCTTACACAGGACATGGGCAGCACAATGAAAAACAAGTGGCAGACCATATAGTTACTCAGTTTAACGTTCAACATTAGGTTAAAGTTTGTTTCAAATGTTACTCTGGCCGTACCATCCCCCCCTCCCTAATGTAAACACTACACAGAAGTATCTCACCACCACGCACCTTTTCGTCTTGAGACAGCTCCTCAAGTTCTTGTCTGCGGACTCCTCCTCAGCAGCAGGTGTCACCGCCGCTCCAATCCCGTCCACATCATCTGCCCAGCAGCAGACGAGGCTGTAGTTCGTCTGCCCATTGTTGGCCCAGAAGGAGCCAAAGGGGGTCTCAAAACGCACGGCGAACTCCATGGTGGTGCCCTCCAGTGCCAGGAGTGGTGGCAGCGAGAGACGGAACGCGAACTGGTCCGTGGCGCCATCGTTCGAGTCCAGCACGTACTCGGCAAGGAGGTCGTAGAAGCTGGTCCAGCCGTCGAAAGTCCTGCGGACGAACACGGCTTTCTGGTAGCAGATGTTGTGCACCCTCATTAGAATCCGGACGCACAGTGGGTCCTCATCCTCAACGGTGACGGACTCCAACGCCACCTGCTTAGCACAAACCTCGGCCAGGAGGTCGGACCTGCTAGACGGGACATCAAAGTTGGGTTTCAAAAAGAGGTGGCCTTTGCACGCGGAGGGGGGCGAGATGGGGGAGGTCGAGTTGGTGGCGGCGCTCATCACGTCGCAGCTCCTGAATCTCAACGTCAACCTCCTCATCACATCGTCGTCGGTCTCATCCCGGAGCGGGTCGAGAATCGCTTCGGGGACCTCCGGCACCTCGGCTTCGTCGTAGAACTTCACCGCGGTCAGCTCCAGTCCAAAGTTGTCCGCAAAGGAGACCCGTCTCCTGGGCGAGCCGATGGAAGGAGACGTAGGTATCAACGGGCTCGTTGGTTCCGTCCCACTTCCCACCTCCAGGTCGTCGTTGGAAGATCGCCTGGGCAAGCGTGGCGACGACTTGGGCAGGAGGTGGAAGGCGCCCTCCTCTCCCTCGTCCTGATCTTCTGGCGTCGGAGGACACTTTGAGTCTTCCTTGCCATGCACGCTCAGGAGGCCATCGGCCGACATGTGGAGGGCCATGGTGGACGAGCCAGTAGGTTGGTGGTGGTGCTGCTGGTAGTGAAGGCAGCGAACTCGGCGTCAAGTTATAGTGTTCGTGCACGGCGTCAAGACTTTGGAACTCGAGCTTCTGGTGACTTGAAGGTCTTCAAGTCTGTGAGAGCAAAGCCAGAGAGAGTTACACCATCAAACAAGAGCTAATGAGAGAACATACACAAGTTGCAATTGACAATAAAGTTGCAAGGAGCACGCACACGTGGGCCACAGTGAGAAAAAGAGAGAGCGAATCTTCTTGCTTTTTTCGGTAAAGTCACGTAGAAGGGAAGTAATAAAATAATAAAAATAAAACATAATAAAATAATTCTCACGACGTTTCGGCTACAACGCAAGCAGCAGCAAAAAAAAACCAAGAAGATGAATCCCTGCAGTCACGAAAGCTTTAAATAGAGAGAGCCAAGTTAAACACAGATCTAACGATGCGACAACAAAGCCCAGCGCTCGCGTGTGCGGGAGAGGAAAACGCACGCGAATCAAACGCAACTCAACTCGCGCTCCACCTCGACAACGCTCGGCGCGGCCAAAGTGATCAACCTCCCAGGCACGTGGCCATGCTCCACATCGTCACCCCCTCCTCCTCCACCTCGAATGGAGGAGGTGTGCAGCCGGCGTTGAACAATGAGTGGCAGCTCTCGCAAAGCCTGCTTGGTGCTGATGCTGGTGGTGGTTGGCAGCAGTTAAAGAGCCGAAAGTCGAGCGCGGGGGTGAGTGATGCTGCTGGTGTAGAACGTCGGTGGCGCTTGATGGACCGCAGAGTTGACGGCGCAGATGCTCCGAGATGGTGGACCCCTGGTGGAGGTGCCAAGATGATGGAACGTTGGCTGGGTGGGCCCCCTCTTCGCCAATGGGGAATCGCAAGTAGCCTCGTGAAAAGTAAAAAAAACCCGCCGACGACTGAGATGGTGGAATCGGTCGTTGCCGAGATCGAGTCTCGTGGTGAATGGAGCCCAAGTCGAGATCGATCGCTTCGGCGGAGCAGCTTCTAGAGAGGATGAGCGGTTAGGCAACTTTTAATTGGTGGTGGTGGTTGTAAATAATGGTTCCAGCAGCAGCAACAACTGATGTTGTTGTTGTTCGAGCAGCACGGAAGGGTGGTTGGTGCCGATGGTGGTGGCGGCTGCGTCTACGTGCGAGCAGACAGCCCCCCAGTAGCTGTAGTCCAGCAAGAGGAGAAGAGGAGGAGGGGAATGCTGCTGCTGCTCCTAAATTTAGCCCAGCCCCATCACCCCCCCCCCCCCCCACCACCACCAGAGCGAGAGACGGAGCGCTCCGCTTCAAATAGCCTCTTCGGTGTGCGCAGCTGTCGCTCTCTCACTGCCCCTCGTGTCTCTCCCTCTCTCTCTGTCTCTCCCTCTCTCTGTCTCTCTGTATGTCGCTTTATTCCCCTGCAGGCAGCGTCAGACGACGGCGTTCACAACGCATGGAGCGAAATAGCAGCAAAGTTGTGACGAGAGGGGCGACAACGCCGAGGTGGAGACGCTCTCCTCCGCAATGGCACGCCACTTACCCCCCCCACACACACTCACTCCACATGGGGGTGATGGTGGTGGGGGTGCTGTGAGCGAGGGTGTCTCTGCGTCGTTATCCTATTACATTTACCTGCTGCTGCCAATGCTGCCAATGCTGCTGCTGCGAACCGAATTGAATAATTGCTCATCCGCATCACGCACGCGAGAGGAGGTTGGGGGTGGCGATGATAATAAGGGCTCCTTCATCGCCGTGCCGAGCGCAGCTCTCCAACGACATCAACATTATCACAACAACAACATTATGACAACAATAACATCAACATCATTGCTACTTATTACAACTCTCACACGCGGAGACAGCGCGCGTCGCCCACCCAGCACGGCGGTGGTTGCCGATGCTTTCAACGACGCACACTGAACACGCCGCTCCTCGTGTCGTCCTTTATCGCTGTGGTGTCGTCTCCTCATTCGCCTTCTTCCCTCCCTCGGGCGGCATGAGAGAGCGAGCCACGGGCGATCGGCGTTGCCCCGGGACTGCTGCAGCGGCAGCCTCGCAGTGCCCCCCACCCCCTCTGTCTCTTTATCCGGCCTCGTGGTGACGACCCCGGCAAGCCACGTGGGCAATGACATCACCGTGCCTCGCAGAGCCACCTCCCTCGTCATCTTCTTTGTCATCAACATCCTCATCATCTTCTTTTTTGTCATCACCTCCCTCATCATCTTCATTATCATCTTCTTTGTCATCATCACCATCCGCATCATCTGTATCATAATTTTAATCACCATAATCATTATCAGCACCATCATCATCCTCATCATCATCTGCTTTATCATCACCATGCTCATCATCTTCCTTGTCATCACCATCCTCATAATCATCTTCCTTATCATCACCTCCCTCATCATCTTCTTTTGTCATCATCACCATCCGCATCATCTGTATCATAATTGTAATCACCATCATTATCATCACCATCATCATCCTCATCATCTGCTTTATCATCATCTTCATCGTCGTTATCATCATCATCATCTTCCTTCTCATCATCACCTCTCTCATCATCATCCTCATCACCACCCTCATCATCTTCATCATAATTTTAATCACCATCCCCATCATCTGTATCATAATTGTAATCACCATCATCACCATCATCATCATCTGCTTTATCATCATCACCATCCTCTTCATCGTCGTTAGCATCATCATCCTTATCATCCTCATCTCCATCCTGACTCTCATTGCTCTGAAACAAAGACGACCGTGCAGGTGCAGCTGAACCAGCACAGCCAACAACTCTGCAGAGGATAACAACATCAGAGGCGACGTTTCAAGCAATGGCCCTTCATAAGTGGCGGAGACTGCACTTTTCAGCATGATTACATTTACAAAAGTCTGTTTCCTGATGAACAGCTTTTAAATGTTTCATATGAATAGTTATACCTTAGACTTTCTCTGCAAGCACGACTGCTCGCTATTATCTATGGCTTATTTTAATAATACATTTATGTTGTGTCTGCCAACAAACTGCCGTCCTCTGTGAGAGATAATAGTAGCAGCATATGGACGAGACGTACATTAATAATGCTGCAGCTGGTGTTTAAAGTTGTAGAATGTTACGTGTGGCTATAAATAAACACTCCCCTCTCTTCAATGTATTTTTACTGCGGGATATGTGCCCAAAGGCAGTGCTTATCGTTGTAAGGGATAAGTCGTCGTATACAGTCCAGTACTCTATGCATTAGCTGTAAATTTACAATGCTGTAATTGCTTAAAGTGTATAAATAGCATTTTTTGGGTCGAATCTTCTCCCATTTATTATGCATCATTCATTATTTGTGTGCACAAAAAGCACAGCGCCATATTTGTAAGGGATAGCCCACGGTATATTGTATCTTTATAGTGCTGCTGTTGTTTAAAATCGCGTATAAAATATTACTCGAATTAATCACACTTTTTAACACCTCCATTTACATAAAGTACTGTATTTTAGGGATTGTTTTAATGTGCATATTATTGTAGTCAAAAAGGCAGCGCCATCTTTGTAAGGGATAGATCACGATTGTTCATGAATATTGATATTGTTTAAAATGTTAAACACCCGTGATACATATGTTAAACAGACCAATGTCTAATCTTAGTGTCAAGCTTGGTGAGCGTACTGGCAGTCTATATTATAGACTAATAATATTATAGACTGCCAGTACTGCTTAAAAAGCAGGCTACAGTCTACATTATAGAATGCCAGTACACTCACTCCCATTAAGAACCAGGCTGCAGTCTACATTCTAGACTGCCAGTACACTCAGATTACAAACCAGGCTACAGTCGACATTAATGTATTTTTTTTTTGTATTCACTTTACTTTATAATTTTTCTATCTACGTGACTTTACCGAAATAACCAAAGACTATTATTGTCATTTGTTTCGCATTTTATTCCGTGTGAAAACAGTAAGCCTCATCTTTCTAAGGCATAATAAGTACTGTTGTGCATCCAGAGTAGTCATGCCATTGTCGTATAATGTTAAACATCACCTTATATGTATTATGAAGTGTACAAAAATGTCTGCATTTTTTCAAGCGGTATGTCAGTATACATGGAATACTGTACTCTTAGTTACACATACTCTATCTATACCATGAAGGAACAAGTTAAAAACTGGAATTATAAACATGTTCATAATACGTGCTCCACTATAAACATGTTATTGTTACAATTAATTACGGAGTGAATTTTACTGTCATCATTTATATATTTAATGAAGGTTTACAAAATATATTTTGGTGGATATTGGTGGCAAAAGCCTACGTGTTAAACTGATCATTTATATCTTGCACATATATTTAAACTGTATATTATACTTTTAGCGATTAGTTACGTTTAACATCAAGATGTTCACATGCCCTCTGCAGCAGCAGCATCACCAGGAAGCTAATCAGGTTGTAACCTGGATAGTGTTGATATCGGTGGTGGATAGGAGGCATCAGTAGTACAATTTATTCCATTGTGAATTTCACTTACGTCTCAAAGATATTGTATTGACGGAACATGCCACCACGAGGGGGCCCACTAGGGTAAGTGGCTCACGTAGATTGCTCATTTCTCAAACTAGCGGTGGCATTGTCGTGACCAGCAGATGGCGGTGCAGCAATGAAAGCCGTCTGCGCCAACTTCGCAGCGTTTTCCCGTCTTGTGCATGGATTTTGTCTAGTTCGGTATCTGACAGAGGTGTGGACTCGAGTCATGTGACTTGGACTCGAGTCAGACTCGAGTCATGAATTTGATGACTTCAGACTCGACTTGGACTTGCATAACAATGACTTTGTCCCACCTCTGGTATCTGACCATTAGGGGCCGTCCATAAATGACGTCACGCGATTTTGGACGATGTTTAACCCCCCCCCCCCTTCGTCACACGGCGTCACAAAAAGTCAGAACCCCCCTCAAAAATGACATCACAAAGCTTTGCCCCCCCCAAAAAAACATGCTTCAGATCGCTTTAAACTATTGTCATTATAATGCGTATTTAATGTGCCGCTGCATTCTAATGTTGTAGGAGAAAACATTTATTTAAAGTTTCGCATTTTGATGTGACGTCACATTTCTCAAACCCCCCCCCCCCCACCGTCACACATCGTCACAAATGTCTGACCCCCCCCCCCCCCAGGTGCGTGACGTCATTTATGGACGGCCCCTTAGTAACATTCATAGGAAACGGTCAAGCATCAATAACGTAGAATCCGCTTGAAAAAATAATATTTAGGTTCAGTGAAGCTTTATTGGCTATATTAATAATTTACATTTTATTATAATGTAATATTTAAGGTTGGTTACTTTTTTCCATTCTCATATATTTCTTGAAAGTCTGAAATCAGCAAAAAGTTTGATTCATTGTCCTTGCGGCAATGACAGTGACACCTTGTGACACCCGTTTCAATTCAAACTCACTATTTTTCAATATACATATATATTTTATGTTATAAACGTGCACACAAACATTGTGATCCGAATATAATATATACAAATTAATATTTAATGCAATTTTATTAATACAGATATTATATGTAGCATTTGTAGCTAGCAAATATACACTGATGGAACATCTCATCAGATGTTGATGTGTTTTTAATTAACTGCATCCTGATCTTGTTCACTTCCTTAATTCATAATTTTTGATCCCAAACCCCGTGCACTATTTTCCCCTAGGTGTGCACATTCTGCTGTTTTTATTTGCTTAACACAAAAAAAATATATTGGTGGTGGAACAACACTGTAAAACTACATTCGTGTACAACGTTTCAGAGAAAAACTAAAATCAGGACTATACGGCTTGTTCCTGTGGCTTGAAAGCTGATAAAGCTGGCAACAACCATCGTTTATCTAAACCTTTTTGGCCCCCAATATTTGCACAGCTTATACATTTATGTTGGCAGTGAGCACTTTCTGTAGATCACAGTCCCCCCCCCCGATTCAACACACTACAATGAATATAATTTGTCGTTTGGCAGTAAAGCGCACGGACTACTGCTAGTGTTGGAATTTGCCTCTGCATGTCGTGCCAGATGTGTCCACGGTGGGTGGTATCATCGCTGCGTTTTTCTTCAGAACTGACTCCCGTTGACACGAACACGTGCAGGGGCGTGAGAGATATGGGAAAGCGATTTCCCTGGTTATTAGTGTCTATTTTTCACTAAACGATACATTTTTACTTTTCACGTGATGACAATTATTGCGCGATCAGTTTGCGTTCGCATTGTAGTGGAATATATCAATTTATCGTCTTGCGTTTTTGCGTGCCATGATGTATCTAGGATAAATATAAATTGCTTAATAGTTATTTCAACTGTCGATCACGCAAGATAAGCGTTCAATAAGCCTCTAATCATGGAAACAATTGCAATCTATAATGCCTGAAGTACTCGCTTTCATTTCGATTTAAAGCTTTCTTGACTGCAGGAATTCATCTTCTTGGTTCTTTCGGTAAAGTCACGTAGAAGGGAAGTAATACAATAATAAAAATAAAAAAATAAAAAATAATACAATAATTCTCACGACGTTTCGGCCACAACGCAAGCAGCCGTTCTCAGGTGAAGAACATGTCTGTCGATAAGACAGAGTCTAAAAAGTCTACTCTGTCTTATCGACAGACATGTTCTTCACCTGAGGACGGCTGCTTGCGTTGTGGCCGAAACGTCGTGAGAATTATTTTATTCTTTTTTATTTTTTTATTTTCATTATTTTATTACTTCCCTTCTACGTGACTTTACCGAAAGAACCAAGAAGATACTCGCTTTCATTTACACAAGAACTACATCTAAATCAGATCATTAAGTTTACTTTGATTAACTAGGTGAAAACGCAAGAGGCCGGGATAGTCTCATTTGCAAAAGTGACCTGGCGATTTGGTCTGCCAGTATAGGAGGGAAAGGATGAGTTCCAGTCACCGGCACAGGTTCATCTTCCGGCTACTCTCTGCTGGTTTAACCCACTAGCCGAGTGCCCGACCTGGGTGTGCACAGTGCCACACAACACAAGCAGCTACTTGGAGGCACAGGGGTAGGTGAGTGCTAGTATGGGGAGACCAAAGCCCCACAGTCACCCCGCAGCATGGGAGTGCGGCTAAGCTGAAGGCAGAGTTGCTGCTATTGTATGGCATTGGCTGTACCATACGCCCCTAACTGGTGCAATGTGTCAACATCAGTACGAGTGAGATAAAGGTGGCCGGGTGTGATGCAATCCACACCACTCCCAACCCTATCATGTGTGACGTAATAGGGAGTCGCTCACAGTACTCGCTCTGATTGTTTCAAACAACGTAGATACACAGATTCATAAGATCGCATGCTTCGTTTAGCCGGAGGTATGCCATATTTGGATAAGGGCAGTGTTATGATATGTCCTTCAGAGAACACATACTTGTGATTTACCAATAAAGTAGCGTGAATTGTATAAACATTGTTTTCACCTAAAGCTGTTGTTTACATTTCCAAGAGCCTCCTTATCGCCGTAAAAATGTCATACTTTTTTTTTGTTTCAGGTAGTTCCAGCGTTCAATCATTAACCAATTGGTATAGATAAGGCGTTTCAAAGCGGTTCGGCTTTGGCCTCTTTCATGTCCACATTTTTTTCTCTGAAGCCAGAGCCAAGAACGGGTGCAAGTATGCGCTGTATTCATCTCGCGAGAAGCGTGCCATGCATTTTGCTGGAACTCGCCCAATGAGGTTGGTTTAATTCGTTTACGCAGGAGTTCGCATTGTGACCACTATCACACACAACACGAGCGGGCTTATGGATCCTCGCAAGGTTGCGCATTCGAATCTATTTCGACCCTTTGAAGACATCGATGGACAACGTGTTTCTTACGGCAGCCAAGAAACGCAGTCAGCAGCAGCTTCTGCTGCTGATGATGCATGCGCGCACACTCTCAAAGTGCGCAGTGCGCCTTCGCCAAAGAGCAGCTGCAGCGGTGCCTCGGACACCGCTCGAGACGATCTCGCGTTTCTTTCACCGGGCGTCCGACAGCATCCTGGCCGCGCGACTCGAACACCCGCAGAGGCGTCGGCTCCTGCGCAACATTCAAGCGAGAAGCCCCGATTATCTTACACGGCCCTCATCGCAAACGCCATCCTCTCCTCGCCAGACAGACGCCTCAACCTCAGCTCCATCTACAGTTGGATCGAGGAGCGCTACCCCTTCTACGGCCGACAGGACCGCCGTGCCGCTCGCGGCTGGCGCAACAGCGTCAGGCACAATCTGTCCCTCAACGAGTGCTTCGTGAAGGTGGGCAGGTGCGAGGACGGCAAGGGCAACTACTGGGGCATCCACGAGCCCCACGTGGAGGCGTTCGAGCGAGGCGACTTCAGGCTGAACCTCGGCTCGCGGCGTCGCAGGAGACCGGCGGGATTCCGTGATCCCGAGCTCACGGTGGAGCGGACGAATGCGCCGATGGACGCTTGCGGGTGGCATTTCCCGGGCCTCTGCTGCTGCGCTTACACTACTCCCCACCACGTGTGCCTCCTGTACTCTTGCGGGCGGGAGGCGATGCGCTGGGCTGAAATACCTGCGCGCTCCTGGGGTTGGGTTGTGCCCGGATTGTCTCTCTGCCATGGCTGTCTCGTGCGCAACATTGCAACAAGCGCGTTGACCCACCCCAGTCTGTACTGTTCAGTGTAGAGCTAAAGGCGCGGCCCTGCAGTGACTTGATCACGTCATTGTTGGCGGAAGGGCTTCCACTTGAGGGAGCTCTCGAGAGCCCCTCTCGAGGGTAATTTGGCCTACTCTTCCACTGTGGTCAGATGTCTTTGAATAGGTGGGAGTCCCCACATTTTACCCCACCAGACGCGACCTGTGAATAGACTGTGTTGTACCCGATTACACTGCTGGTTGGGCATTGGTGGAGGGATTTAATTAACGTTTCCATTCAGTCAACTGGCGTGTCAGTAAATTCAACCGGTGACCTCTGGATTGCAAGTCCGGTGTGCTGACCACGGCAGCATACTGAGTGGAAGGGAATTTAACATAATGCGCATTGATCAATGTAGATTTTTTTTTCATCCTGTGCTGATTACAATGTTAAAATGTATATTGTGCCTTATCCTGAATGATTACAATATTGCTATGAAGTGTATAAATACATTGCATTATATTGAGCGTTTTTTTTACGTAATGGGTGTTTTAAACAAAATATAACCTGAACATATATTGAGAGTACAGTACACGTGTGTGTATTGAAATAAACTGTTTGACGATGCTGGCTGTGACCACCAGCTCAGCCTCGTGCCACGATGTTCTTCGCTGTTGTGGAATTGGTATCCAGTATCGCCGTTGGTGAGGCTGCTGCTGCTGCTTAAGCGGTAATAAATTGCCACTTTTGTTAATCGCGTGACGTCTTCGTTCATTGACTGTCGGGTGGAGGAGGGTTCACGACACCAAATAATCAATGACTGGTCGGGAAAAGCCTACGTGATAAATCGCACTGGGACCATCAGCTCACGACACTTGAGAAACCAGTTCAATAACGGCGTTGGGCAGCTAAATAGCTCTCGAGTTACCTGTTCAGCTCACAAAGCCTTCGCTATAAATACTGGAGTAATACGTCTGTGATCAATTACGATAGTGTGCTCACGTGTGCGTATATTACGCACTCAACCTCAGTTGTGTGTTGTGTAAACATCTCCACTAGGGAGACAAAGGCGGCCAGGCGTGGTGGTGACCTCTAACCACCCCCTCGTGTGCTGTTCCGGCCTTCATACGTGCTCGCAAACGACGCTTGCCCCAACAGTCCTTTGAAGGCGATACGGGTAATATTCGTCTTTGTATATAACGCAGCCAGTGCACGTGTTGTACAGGGTTATCCATGTACGTACACACTACATTACTGACTTATACTGGGCACTCTGCTAGTACTGGCGGTTGGATATTGTGAAGGCGATGGCTTAAACATCGTGCATAGGAGGAGGATGTTAACAGGAGTCAATGCAGTGTATTGGAATTGGTGGGAGCATTCGTGGATGATTTGAAACACAATGTTGTTTTCTCTGATACGTCCCTTGTGTTAGTGGGGTGCCACTGCTGCGGTTAAAGCGCGCAGCCCGCATTCAAAAGTACGAGTTCAAATCCCGGTTGGGGTTGATACGGCGCTTTATACAATGAGTGCCAACTCTGTTGCACGATGCGTGGTCTGCTGTTCACAGTTAATCTAACCTATATGCTTTGACCTTATCCTCACATAGGAATGTTGAATTTCCACCGCTGGTGAAAGGCTGTTAACCTCAGATGTCCCAACCCCCCATACACATATGAAAAATACAGGGTAAATGTGCAGCGCTGCAATCGCTTGCTGGAGGCTACGTGGCCTACTCTTCAACGCCGATCAGACATATCCGATGAGGTGGGGAGTGCCCACATTTTAACCCACCGCATGCGATCGCCCGCCGATAGACGAAGCGTGGTTGAACCCATTGACACTGCTGCGTGGACAGAGGTGAAGTGAGTTTAAAAGGTCGCGCCGTTGTTTCGACTGCCTGCACCGGGAGATCGAATCGAGCAGGCGACCGCTGTGTGCCAGGCATTACACCACGGGGGCATCCCTTGACAAACTTTACACTCATATTTTTTTGTTTACAATCTCACAGCACTACATGATATTTAATTACATATTACACTTTATTATACATGAGTGAAACACCTCACTTGTACCTGCATACATGTCCTATGTGCACAGCCATTCACTCTTCTCGACAAAATAAATAAGCAGGTATTCTACTGCATGAATTTCCTTCGCATATCTGTCCCCCACGGAACACATCAAGGTGTGTTTCATGCTTCCCGTCAACCGCAAGGTCTTCTGGGAGTGCATCATGTCAGCAAGATTGGTTCGATGAAAGCAAACTCTGCACCGGTTTTGACCTACAAGTGTCTCTCTTCAGCAGTCAGGCTTGCTTCAACCAATAGCTTGTGAACTGCCAGATGTTACAGGGCAACAGACTGCTTGCCTCTCTCTTCTAAATGTGGTCAGCTCCCAGTGTTATGCTCGCAGGCATGAACACAAGCGCAAGGTGGCAGCATAGCACCGCTTAAACCTCAAAGCAAGTTGCTCTCAGGCGGGCGTTGCACTTCAATGCGTTGGGTGTTTGTAACTCTCGTGGCGCTCATTAAAAAAATTATCAGGGCAATTAAACACCACTGACCTAAAAAACACAACCTCATAGGAAAGTTAGAAGTTATTTCAGCCGCTTAATGTGTGCACGATTTAAGACGGATAACTTTAATATATCGGTAAGAGCCCATTGAGACTAAAAGTCTCCCCCCCCCCTTCTTTAAGGAAGACCCGGATTTTAAATAATCGTCATCCGCATGTATCCCTTCCGTCGGCTCATTGGCGACAATGGAGCCGAGTGAGTTCTTACCTCGGGTGTCTGTCTATAGACAACGTCACCGCTTTGCCAAATCTCCATCCGTCTAGAATCTCCCACCACTGCCGTCTATCCACCCGACTGTCTCCCCCCCTACTCCCGTTTTACTACCAATGGTGTGTGCGTCGCTAAGTACAGCGACAGATCACATGGAATGCGTCCAATCTCATCAGATCCTGCAAGCTAAGCCTGGTTAAGCCTTTATAACGCTTGCATGGGCGACCACCGTCCAAAAAAGCAACTGGTGAAAGGGGCTGCGGGATTTATTTTTGTCAGCCGAGAACAGAGCAACACAATCTATTGTTGTACTGTCTGAAGCCCTGAATGAGTAAACCAGATGAATTCGATGGTAATGTCGAAGGCTCATCATCACTGTGGTCTTAAAAAAATAAAATACACGTCTAAGTAGTGAAGCTACGGAGAGAATAAGGAATGTCCACCACTTGCTTAAGGCCACCGACCACGATGAGCACCATACCACATTCGTTTGAGTAAGAGGGCACTTCAACGTCGATATTGCTACATTACAAGACAAAGAGCACCCCTACTCCGTGTCTAATGAAAACTAAAAAAAACGGCTCGTATGTTATCCTTGTGTGTCTCTCACACACCCCATCATTCTCACAAAGGCACTGTGCTCGCGTCTCTGGGGTGTGAGTTGGGGGTGGAAGTAGGAGGTGCGAGCTAGAGAGAGAGAGAGAAGAACCTTCTTAATTACGTTCCACTGGGACTGTGTCAGGTGTGGTCACGAGAGCTAATTGAAGATGAAATCAATTACGTCGCGTTGCTGATTGGCGCTGTACTGGCCACACCTAGCCAGGGAATTGTGGCAATTGCAGTGTCTTAACCCTGCTGACTTAAAACCCCCGTAGTGATCCTGCCTCCTCTAATCACCATGCTTGTTCCTCGCAGCTCGTTACGTTGCAACATGGAGTTTCAAGCTGGAGAGGGAGAAATATTCACCTTGATATAATTGCATTTTGGCCACAAGGTGCAATCACAGTACAAGTTATGGCAAAAACACCATTATCTTTTGTCTATATTTCACCGAGTCTCAACACTGTACTATTTTTAAGGAGGGTCCTGCTAGGATTTGTTGGGACATTTCCGTTGTTTTAATGTGTAAACGATACTAGAATACGTGCAGAAAATGCACGCATGAGGGGCGACCACTCAAATTCCACACAGAGAGGTCTCGAACACAGATGGTGTGGAAATGGCTAAGAGGCTCAGCAGATTAATACTCGCCTGCATTGTGTAACTTCGCCAGTGACGTGAAAATCCCGGGTTCGAATCCAGGAATGGCACCGATGATTAAACTGGGTTCTCATATCGAGCCAGCTGATCGTCTCAGCTCAGTCGTCAATGGCTATTTAAAAAGTCGTATTCGCAGTTTGTCCGTTTGTATGTAATTGCAGCCCTGAGAATTACCCATTTCTGTTTAATTAGCACGTGTATCTCATTACACAGCACACAAGGTGTGCGCGCAGGATGGCGGGACAATACTCTTGCAGGTGCCGTTCTGCCTTCTGTGACATCCAAATAATAATGGCATTATTAGTAACATGATGATGATGATGCAACATTGGAATGTGAAAACAATAAAGGAACCTACTTGCTGTACTTCCTCATGTTGCATCCTGCTGGCCTGTTGGCGGGTGTCTTGTGTAAGTTATCTTTGTCTGATCCACACTGCGATACGAACCCGGCCCACCTGACTTCGATTACAGTTCGTGGCGCGTGGCATCTGCACGAGCGGTGGGATGCCTCCTTCACCAAACCGCACTGACCAGCGTGGTGAAGTATGGTCAAATATCCTCCACAATCGAAGCAACTTGAAGAGGCACGCATGTAGCAGCAAATTGGCAATGCGCTGTTGTCAATCAAATTAAAACTACTGCATATGTAGGTTTATTAACACCGAGGGTGAGTTTGTGTTCGTATGAAAGGCCGAAATACATACTACAATTTATATATATACAGGTATTCCTCGATTTACGAACGTTCTGTGTACGACATTGCGCGTGAATGCAATTGACAAATTACGGGCACCTTTCGATTAACGAAATCGAATTTCTGCGTTCACGAAAATTGTCACGACGGCACGCGCCATGAAACGCCTGTGAGGGTTGCGTCCTCATCCATTCGCCAGGATGTTCCTGCAGAGACGAGTCTCCACTTCACCGTCGTCCTAACAACGTGCAGCAAGATCTTCTTTGGTGAGTTCCCTGGAAAGGGTGAATTGTTTTTTGTTGAAAGTTACTTATTAATTGAGTGGTTTTCATATGCTTTTTTATTGTAATGTGTTTTGTATTGTGAAAAGTGAAACAGGTGTATATATATTTTAGGTCAGGAGTAGAGTTGGATTTACTGTCCGAAACTTATCCCAAAATGTTCGTATTAAATTAATGGGACAGGCTGTTCAAATTTACGAAATGTATTTTTTCGCGTGTTTTTTAAAAGAAAGTATCACTTTCGTAAATCGATGGATACCTGTATAATGTGCCTTACAATACAGCATATCATTGTTTGGTCTCGCGAGTGAACACAATGTTAATCAAACTTTAAGCATCGTGTTAAACGCCGAGCGGAATGAGTAAGGACGGGACGGGGCAGCCTCTGGCCAAACATCCCAATATTGAAACGCAGAGCTTGGGC